ACTGATTATCAAACATAAGCTGTGTTTCTAAACTGTGTCCTAATTTGCTACTTTTCGTGGCATAACAGTATATGGTGACTTTTATTTTAGTTGAAAAGGAATAACAAAAATGCTCCAGTTCTTTTAACCCTTCTGGAGTGACAGTACCGATGATATTTGGGAACCATATTCTTTTTCACCAGAAAAGTCCCCCTTACTGAGTATGATTAACTAAGTTCACTTTTAAATACTCCTTGTTCTAAGTTCCTATTCATGTTTAAAAAATACGTCACTCTTAAAGTAAATTGCTCTAATTATTTTCTTCACTGGAGTATAAAATATAAGCAACTAAATTTGAATGGGCTATCAAATCTACATGGCCTCTTAACAGTAATATTCTAAAAGTGATTAATAGTTTTAGAAGTAGTATTTAGAATGTTTGTTTTGTTTAATTGACTCAGCATTTCTAAAACTGTAAAAATAAAATACAAAAGCCTGTTTTCAAAACTGTGAACTGGACATTTTAAAATACTTAAGTCTCAAAGGTTATGCTATACAGGATTTTATAAATAACCAGGAAGGTCATGCTTGGAAAGACTATTTTTTTTCAGCACAAACTCATCTTCTAAGTTTGGTTTGCTTGCAAAACCTTTTACTGTTTCTGTACCTACATGTTTCTTTATACAGATAAGCTATAGTTCTTACAGCTGTTCTACTTAAGATATCTGTGTAAACTTCAGTCACTTGGTGAGCTTGTATCTTCATATTAACTTTATAATTGTGTACTGTGAACATAATATTACTGAATCTATATTTGGAGATCTTTTAGTGGTCATAGGGAAAGGATCTTTTACTATGAGGAATCATCTTAGCTAAATGAAGTGAAAACAATTTGTAGTTACTTCCTGTTTTTGCCTATTAATGAAATGCCTGACTAAAACTGAATATAGCAAATAAATCTTTGCATTATAATTCTGCTTAAATACTGCTAGAATAGTTTATTGTCAGCTAAACTCTAAAGAAGGTAAATCTGTTCTCAAGTAGGATGTTTTGGTTCACAAGAGTTCTGGTCAGCTGAATTCTTACTTAGATGGTCCAGAGAGAAAATGCTATAGTATCTGAATTGATATGAACTGTCATGGAAAAGGTTTGGTGCTGGGCAAAAAAAGCAGAATTTCAGGCGATCTTTGTAAACTCCATTGGAATTTAATTTTAAACATGCCCTGGGGCTGGCTCTGAAAAAAAAAAACTCGTAAATTGTTTTGTTATAAAATAATTCTTTTTAAGGAAAATCTGGGGTTGCTGTAACCACGCACCATGGTGTTCAGCCTCTAGTTGCCTTGATACATTACTTGAAAATTGAAGTAATGTATTGAAGGAAACTGGTTTTTATTAACAAGGTTCCAGTTTGGTGGGCGGTACTGAGAGCACTCCTGCTCTGAGTCCTTCTCTCTTATGAGACCCAGAACTTGCTCTCCCAAAAGTTACAAGCCAAAACCATACCTGGAAGTTTCCCATTTCCTCATCTGTCCTTTCTAGAGCTGAAGCTGGCCACACAGATAGATCTCCATCCCTTCTGGAATGTGCGTTCATGGGTTTCAGAGTTGCTGTCTTCTTGCAGCAGCTCTCCTTCAGGATCTGGGTGCACTGATCTGTTTCCAAGTAGCAGTCCAGGACCTGTGTGCCATGCTGCACTGCATCGTAGTGACCCAGATGCTGGAGCCCATTGAGGCACACAGCCCAGAGCGGGACTCTGCCTCTAGGAGTGAGTGGGCTTCCAGTCATGTGGGGCCTAAGCCCCTGGTGGGCCCAGCATTCGCCCACCCATCATATAACTGCTCTGTCCTTGCAGGAGGCAAGGGCCACAGACCCAGAGCATCCAAGCTCACCTGCAACCAAAAGCCCCAAGCCAGAGCGCCAAGAGCCAAGAGAGAGCCCAGAGAGCAAGTTAGCTTCTCCCGGTGTCCTTTTTGAAAGATCCTTTCTCTAGGAATCCCACGTGATCCAGAAGCCAGTGGGAGTGTCCAGTTTTCCAACAAAGGAGGGCTAATGTTGGCCATGTTTGCCTTTGCCCCAACTCCTGCAAGACTACTAACCAAGAGTCTTCTCTGGCAGCCCCTGCTGGGTAGGCATAGCTGGTTGTATCACGTTTGTTAGGCAGTGTGCTTTGAGCACTGCGCCTTCTTCTCTGTTGGCTCCTCCCTGCCTTGGACAAGGCATGGTGCTTGTCATCTGCCGCCTTGGCAGCTCTCCCTGTCCCCCAGCCTTCCCAGGCACGATGAGGAGAGCTTCTGTGCCGGACTCAGGGTCCTCTGTCTGAATGGGGCCCCTTGCTTTCCAGCAATCTCTGCCTTCTTAAAATTCCCATGATTTCGTATTTTCACTTTCAGAACTAGAAAAGAAATAAAACATATACTCATCTTTTAAAAAAAATAATAAACAGCCTACCTACAAAAAGACTTTGAGGGGGCAGTTGTCATTCAATATTATTTTTATATTAGTTTCAGGTGTACAGTGTGGTGATTAGACATTTATATAATTTACAAAGTGTTCCCCCTGATAATTCAAGTACTCACCTGGCACTAAACATATTTATTACAATTATTTCAAAAAGACTCCTTTAAGTTAAGGCACCTAATCATTCATTTATTGGATTATCAGGAGCCTTCTTTTTAAAAAAAGTATGGATGAGAAATAATGACTGAAGTGGGCAGTGTCTGCTTTTCTGTTACAGGGGAGGTTCGGATGGCTGCCAACAGAAGAGGAGCTTTTCATCTTGTTCCGTAATGAACATTCGTGGCATTGCCACTTTCCTATTGCCATTTGCCGTCTTCTGCTGCTTCTCAGTTTGATCTACTTTGTCTGTGCTCCCTTCTCTGTTCGTTCAGTCTTCTTCTTACCCCAGTTGGGAAACGGTATCGTGAACATATCAACAATTATTTCAGGCTTCAATGAGTAGGAGACAGACATACAACCCTAAGGATTTATTACCAACACGTATGACTTTTGGGAAAAGCCTCACCAAAATGTGTCTTTTGAAGGAAGATGTCAATTTTTAGGCTTATTCTTCTCTGTCCCTTAAATCTAGATATTCTTCAGGGTTATCTGCTTAACTCTTATCTACTCGTTATAGATCTTCTCCCTGCTTTTACTCACAACACAGCTGTTACCTCTCTACTGATCATTACTAGCTCTGTACCTTTCAGGTTTTCTCACAGACTTAACCCAAACTTTCCAGTTGCCTCCCAGGTTTATGCCTAAGTCACTTTCATACATCCTGTTTATTGTATCGTTCTTTCCCCCTGCCTTGCCATTCAGCAGCTTGTTTCCTTGTATTACCTACCAAGGTTAATGTGGTTAATGGCACTTCCACTTTCATAGTTATGAAAACTAAAAATCGAAGAATTATCTGTAGCTCTTGCTCTCCTTCATGTATTGGCCAAATACTTAGTTACGAAGTACTCTTTTCTCACAGTTACTAAATTGTTTTCTTGCTCTTTCTACTGCCTTCATTTTTTTGTGCTAGGCCCTGGCTTAGGCTTTTTGCATGCATTGTGGGGTTTTTGTCCTTTTTAATTTGCAACAAGTCTGTAAAGTAGGTTGCATTATCTCTTTTCTTATATCACATTTATGGTACTGGAGTAGGCACAAAGAAGTTAAGTTGTTCCAACATCAAAAAAATAATGAATCAGGTTATTTGATGGTGGCTGACTAAAAAGTCCAGTCTCTTTCCAGTAAGTACTCTTTCACCTAAGTGTAAGAACCGTCCCTATTTACCCACCCACTCACCTTTCTGGGTTCTGTACTTCTCTCTCTGGGGTGCCTTATGCTAGACATAGGAAACATTTCTAGTCCTGTGAGCTGGTCACTGCTGAGTCTCTCTCCTCACTCGGTTCTCAGCTTGTCTTTCTCTTGATCAGACTCCATTTCTTCAAGTCATGTCTGTGTAGTTTTCCTCACTGTTACCATTCCCACTAACACTGCCACCACCACACCGTACCATTCCTACCTCCGGGGCATTGCTACAGATATTGCTGGGCTAATGTTACTGTTTTGTTTAATATTTCCAGCTAGAATGTGATCACTTTGAGAAGTAGAGACTCTTATTTGTTGTTTTAGTTCTATTAGTCTTAATTATAGTTTGGAGCTAATGAAGGTGTTCTGTCTTTATAAGAAGATACATGCCATACTTTATATCCATCCTGAAGGAAACTGTAACTGTAGAGTTAATCTTGGGAAATTGTTTGGCACATACCTGGCTTGTCTACTCACATACATTAAACAATTGTTGAAGGCTTACTAACACTAGACATTGTACCTGGTGTTAGAAATAGACGGAAAGGTACCGTCTATTAAGACTTGAGGAGGAGAGGAGGATGATTAGAATGAGGCCAGCATTTTAGTGTGGGGTCATAGAGAAAGTGAACCTGCTTGAGCAGGTGGTCTAAATTGGGATTATGAAAAATTGTAATAACACAGATCCGATGGTCAGAGAATGGTTTTGATATTGGTCTCAGCAGAGTGCTTCTTGCCACTTAGTAGGAAGTCAGTAAACATTTATTTAATTAATGAATGAAGAACCAGTTAACTAGCCTGTTACTGTAATAGAAAGTCTAAATTAGGATGTTGGGATATAGTGGTTTTTTTCTCTTGTACTGACAATTATTTAAACTTGTAACCATCAGGGTAAAATTTAAAAACCCAAATTATTTATGGTAGTCTGAAGAAATTCTTTTAGAAGATATGTTGTTATTGATATGAAAAAATCAATTTGACATTTTATATTAGGGAAACCTGTATATGATGAATGCTTCCTGTTGTAATTTTAAAAACTTTCTTGAAACTCCTCTAATACATTGTTTTGTGTGTAATGAATTATCCCTCAAAAGAGGATCCTTACTACATCTGATAAATGTTTGTGCATAGTAGTTTCCCTCCTTACATGTTTTATTGTATTATCCTTTTCTTTTAATGTAACTTGCCCTTACCCCTTATCCTCCACACCTTTTTTGTTTTTACAGTATCTCTTGCTCCTCCTCCTCCCTCCATCCTACAGGTAACTCCTCAGTTACCTTTAATGGGATTTGTGGCCAGAGTCCAAGAAAATAGTAAGTTTATATCTTCTTTATGCTGTAGATCAGATTGTAGGCATAAAATGTCATTATAGATGATTGGCTAAATAGTCATTCTTTCACTGATACTTCAAGCATTGAACATTATGAACAAGTCACTATATGAACAGCTGGTAGGGATAAGATAATAAAGATGAAATTGTCTGCTTTCAGATAACTGAAAATCTTGTACTGAAGAGGAGACAAAATAACATGAGGCACATGTAAGAAAAGAAAGATCACATCTGAGGATATGCTCTTTAGTCACCAGCTGTCCCACCTCTGGGATGCTCAGACAAGTATAGTCCAGTTTCCTGTCACTGGACTTTTTAGGTTTTGTGGCTGGGCTGAGAATCTTTCTCTGGTCCTGTGATTCCAGTTATAAAAATGTCAAGGTAGGCCCCAGGGCACCAAATTGCCACTGTTTCCCAAGAGGACTCATAGATTGGCAATGAATTCACGTTGACATATGGTCTGGTGTTGAGCCATGCAGGATCACATAACTAATTTTATTGACAATAAATACGTCTTCTCCTGTGGACGTATTAAGGATGTTCAGGAGACTGATGTCTGCATAGGAGGAGGCCTGTGTCAACATTCACTGACAAATGGCTGTCACAGACACCAGTGAACAGTCTATACAGTGGATGAATTCTCTTGTAAGCCGTCTACATGAGGAACTATATCATCATAAAGTTGCTTGATGGGCATGGAATCTGAGCAAGGGAATGACTTTAATGAAAGGTTTAATGTTACCAGGCTGAAGTAGCCCAGTGTACGCATCTCATAATAAAGGGGGCCTCACCAACGGGATACAGATGATTGCACTCTGTTGCTTAGGATTCTTGCTCCTTCAGAGATGGGGATTGCCAATACAAGATTGTAAGCTCTGGGAGAGTAGGGATTTTTGCCTGTTTTGTTCACAGGCTGTTTCCCCAGCACTTAGGAAAGCATTCAACACATAGCAGACACTTTTGGTCCCTCCTTTTTGTGCTTCCCTAGCTGACTGTATGCCCTCTTTTTATTGACACATTTCTTTCTTGTATTTTAACTGATTATAATCCAGTCTTACTGGACTGAGGGCTCAGTCCCTCTTTCAGGGGCCATTGCATCTCTATTTGCTCATTTCTGAAAATAGCCACCTCCAATGTTTACCACAGTTTGATTGCCTTTTGGGTTATATTTTCTCATTTCTTTCCATAGCCATAAACATTTCTCACCTACAAAATGTATAAAATAAGGAACTGTATGAGGTGTGCTGTGGCTGATTTTAAAGACATAGTAGGACTTAATACATTCAAATGAATGTTGTCCTGTTCAAAACATTCACCTTGGAAAGATATGTCTTCTGGGATTATCTTCATAGCTTTCAAATACATTATTTTGAAGGTACTGTATGATAGCAGATAATCACTCTGCATTAAGATTGATGTTTGGAAGAAGTCTGGAATTATTTGGAACCAGTTATACTGTGCTAAGTAGTATAGCTATGATCCCATAATTCTTCCCCAAAACCTTCTATGGCTCCCCATCACTCCTTGAATTGAGTTCAGACTGTTGCAAGGCCCTTCCTGCTTAGTCCTCTTCAGCTCCTCAGGTCTCTTTCTGCTGCACTTTGGTCAGTTCTTTGAAGGAGTCCTGCTTTCTTACTTTGCCTTTGTTTTTTTCTTTACATCTGATATGAAATGTCCACCTCCACTCCATCCCACCCCCTGGCCATTAACTTTTACTCATCTTTCAGGTTTCAGAAACCCATGTAAGAGGTTTGGTCTCCTTCTGTATTTTCCTTAATGACTTAAAGCACCTGCTGCACTTAATCAAAATGAAAGTTTGGTTGTTATGTCTCCAGGATTTTGCCCACTGTGCCATTCCCAGTGCTGAGCGTAGTGCCTACCCAGAGTAGGCTTTCAGTGGATATTTATTGAGTGAATAATAATGAAACATTACTTTAAAGGTAGTGTAGATAATGAACATTGGTTTTCCAGTTTCTGCTCTTCCACGTACTGTGGGCTACTTTAATCTTGAAAAGCCAGCTTCCATATCCATAAAAATGAAGATTAAAAACACCACCTCCCAAGGTAAAGGTTAAATGAAATAATGTATTCTAAAATGTTAGCTGAATAATTGGAATATTTTAAGTAAAAAAATGGTAGCCTTTTGTTAGTCTTATTCAACTGGCTCTCAGACAGTTATTTGAAAATGCAAAAACAAGCAGCGGCAGCATCTTTGAATAATTGTATCACATAATTTGTCAAGGTGATTGTTTTGAAAGACAAGTTCCTTTGGATGTATATTTTTTGGAATTGTTTAAAAGCAGTCTACCTTATAAATATAAATAGGATATATTGTTGATTCTTACTACAACCATATATAATTTGTCATAAAGTATATGCCAAAGTCACATAGCTATCCATTTTGTTCATTACAAACGCATTAGGACCACAAGAACTATTTGTTAATGGGTAAAGTTTCAAAGTACGTAGAGTGGGTACACTGCTGAGTGCAGAGTGGCACAGCAGACGGGAAGAGACTGGAATGGCGCGGGGTGTGCAGCTGAGGTGACTGGTGCTCACCGGGCACTAGCAGTCTTCTGAAATCCCTTTGATTCCCTCTGCGGGGTTAGATAAAAAATGGGAAATAAACAGATGGCTTAGAGAATTTCACGGAAACAGTACTGGTGTCTGATAAATAGGAATTTGTGGACTGAGCGCCGGCCTGTGAACCAAAACATCACAGGTTTGATTCCTGATCAGGGAACATGCCTGGATTTGGGCGCATGTGAGAGGCAACCAATGATGTATCTCTTGCTCATCGATGTTTCTCTTCCTTTCTTTCTCCATCCCTCACCATCTCTCTTAAATAAATAAATAAAATTCTTTTTAAAAAAAGAATTTGTGCTGTCCATTAAAATTGGACAACTGATACATGCAGCTTATTTAATTTTTAAAAATAAATTTATTGGTTTTCCAGAGAGGGAAGAAGAGGAGTGGAAAACAAAACACCCATTTAGTTGTTCTACTTATTTATGCATTCATTGGTTGATTCTTGTATGTGCCTAGACCAGGGATTGAAGCCTTATTCTTAGCAATTCAGGATGATGCTCCAACCAGCTGAGCTACCCGCTCAGGGTTCATCATTCTTTACTCAGTCTATTTTGTTGAACTGTGCTCAAGTATGTACCAAGCATTTAAGAAGCTTTGAGTTCCTGAGTTTATAGATAATATTTTAGACATTTCTTTGTTGATACTTGAGCTGTGGAAGCAGATCTCATTAAATAGACATTTTAAATATTTTAATTCTTGTATATTTACCTTGGAGAAATTCTGTATCATAAATTGGTCTGAATTAGTTGAAATTCTGTATATAAAAAAAAATAAAAGTTATCCAAATTTGCTTGTGATTTCTGCGCTGTTAATTTGGTAAAATGCTAATTAAAAAATTCATTAAGAGGAGGTAGATTTAAAAATTTGACCATTCACTGGACTCATTCTAGCTTTTTATAAATCAAGTATAGATATAAATATCTAAATTATTAATATTTCTGATAACCACTCATTGTTGGATACCATCTAAAACCAAACTATATTGTATTGATCTCTGAAAAGAGGATTATGTATTAGCCTAAACAGGTTCCAGAGGCTTGGTTAATACTTACTTTGGTCAAACTTTATTCAGCATCCATAATCCTAGCCCATTGGGAGGAGAAAGTCATGCTTGGAGACTGGGAACATTATGGTTGGTGGGGGAGTTCTTTTGCCCACTCATTTTTTGAGAGATTGTTATTTTCAAGTCCAGGTTTATGGTCCATGAACATAGAAGCTTAGATAGGAAATACTGAACTTTGCATTAGGTGTAGTTGTATCAGCTTGTACATTCTTAGTTTCAGATACGCCACCACCACCGCCACCTGTGGAAGAACCAGTCTTCGATGAATCCCCCCCTCCACCTCCTCCCCCAGAAGATTATGAAGAGGAGGAGGCCGCCGTGGTTGAGTATAGTGATCCTTATGCTGAAGAGGACCCGCCGTGGGCCCCAAGGTCATATTTGGAGAAGGGTAAGTTTCAGAGGGATATCAGGAGGGATGGGAAGAAATCTGTACGTAGAAATGAAATTTACTGGTATTGAAGAGGACTTTGTTTACTTATTTTTTAATGATAAGTAAAATTTTTCTTTTAGTACATGTTCTTATTTAATTTACAAGTTTTAAATGGTTTTGAAAGCCATGCTAGTAAAATTCTGTGACTTTGTTTTTTATTGATGTTTGTGTATTTTTTCTGTTCAACATGCTTTTTATGAGTGGTTTCTGTAAGACAAAAGTAAAAGGAGGGCTTTTTTAGGATGCCTTAGGAAAAGGATGATTTTTCCAAATTATTAGTTATTCCTACCCTGATGGTTTACAAAGCATTCTTTTGTGACATCTTACATTAGATGTTTTAGTTTAAATATCTCCATATCAAACTTCCTTCCAAAGAATAATGGTTTGTTAGTTTCTTTACAGAGTTTTGTTGGGTGTTTCTTTTATTGAAAAATTTCTCTGAATACATTAGCTAACTATGGCATGGCACTTATGTGATACAAGCTTCCAAATCTTATCAGGGCTGATCAGCTCAGGGAAAAAGTGTGTCATCTTCCAGGTAGTTTTTTGTTAAGGAAATTAAAGCTACTCACTAGGTCTTAAAACTGACCCCACATTTTGAATCATCTGGGGAACGTATGTTAAGAAATTATGGACTGCCACCTTTGGTCAAAATAGAGCAACAGCTATCAAATATATCCCCTTTCCTAAAACAGGAATCCAGAAAGAAATACAAAAAAATAATGGGTTTGAGACATTGGACAACAGGCAGTGGTAGATGATGACCCCAGAGAGCAGGAACTCGGGGCGAGCCTTTGGTTGTCCTGGCTTGGTACCTTGATGCAGTTTACAGGCCGTAGTGGGAGGAAGTGGAAACCAAATGGAGAAACAGAGCCTGGGGGTTTCACTGCATAGAGAAGATAGAAGGCGGAGTTTTGGGAGGCCACAGGGACACGGTAGCTACACTGAGAGGACAGAGCTCTGGAGATCTGTAGAAGGGTGCCCTTGAGTCTTCGACTGAGTACTGGGTTGTGTGTGTGTGTGAATAAACTGCTGGTACTGGAGAAAGAAAACTAGAAAGCAGTAGGCAGAAAAACTACTGGAAATGACAGGCCTGGAATGAGTTCATGCTCCCAAACCAGTTAGAGTAGAAAAACTTGTAATATACAAGGCATTGAGAAGAGGCCTCAAAAGTTTAGGACTGGGCCCCCTTAGCCCTAGACTCAAGTTTGCTCTGGACTGCCCTAACAAATGCTTAAATGCAAAGCTTGAAAGCATCCAACTGATGCAAGTAACCTAACTGAGCTCCAGGACAAACTCAGCACTGTTCAACAAAATCCACTGCACCAAAAAGTCAGAATCACAGTGTCCAGCAGCCAATCAAAAATTACAAGGCATGTAAAACAGGAAAATATAACTCATAAGTAAAAGAAAAGTCAGTCAGTAGAAACAGCCCCAGAAATGACTAAGGTGGTAGAATTACCAGGCAGGAGTGTGACATAATTGCTGTAAATGCCACATAGGTTCAAGAAGGCAAAGGAAACGTGAACACCAGAGAGAATTGGAATATACATACATTTTAAAAGTCCACACTGAATTTCTGGATGTGAAAAATATAGTATCTCAAGTGATACTTTGGAAGAAAAGATCAGCAACCTTGATGATATGACAGTAGAAACTGCAAAATGAAGCATGGGAAAAAACAGAAACTAAAAACAGAACAACAGATATGTGGGATGGTATCAAATAGTCTTTTTTTGCAGAAGATGTGATAGCATGTAGAAAATCTTAAGGAATCTACCAAAAGCAGGTAGAACTAAAAACTGAACTTTGCAAGGTTGAAGCCACAAGGTCAGTGTGCATAATTAATTACATTTTTATATACTAGCAACAAGTAGTTGGAGATAGAAACTTCTAAAACAACAACTTTTGTAATAATGTAAAATATGAAATTCCTAGGGATAAATTTAATGGAATATATTAATGAACTGCATGATGAAAACTAAAACATTAAGAGAAATTAATAAAGGCCTTATATTGAGAGATAAATTATGCTCCTTGATCATTATTATTAAGAGATCCGTTTTCCCCAAATTCATCTATAAGTTGAATGCATTCCCAATAAAAATTCCAGAAGTCAATCTTATAGAAATTGACAAGGGTTTTCTAAAAGTTATATGGAAATACAAAAAAACCCAACTCCTTAATATAGTCAAAACAATTTGGAAAAGAAGTCTAATGTTGGAGGATTTCAACTGCTTGATTTCAGAGTTCTAGTGAGAAGCTACAGTGTTCCAGACAGTGTCGTACTGATGTAAGTGTAGGAATAGAAGTCAGTGGGATAGGATGTAGAATCCAGAAATATGACCCACACGAATTGTTTGATAAAGTTGCCAAGGTAATTTGATGAGGAAGAACATCACACCTGTTTTCAACAGGTAGTGATGGAACGATTGGATAACCATATGCAATTTCTTATGTTCTGGGTTGGGAAAAAATATCTTGTAGAAAGCACAGAAAAAATATGAAGCTTAAAAGAAAAAAATTGGTAAATTAAACTTTTCTTCACATATTTGCAAAGTAATATGTTAATATGAAAAATAATTTGTAGGACTACATTTTACCAGATATATGAATTGCAAAGAAGCACATGAAAGATGCTCAGTATTATTAGTCATTAGGGAAATGTAAATTAAAGACACTGAGGAAAAACTCAGTACCACTACACACCCTCTAGAATGGCTACAATTAAAAACACTGATAATATCAAGTGTTGGAGAAAGTGGGGAGAAACTGGAGCTCCTCTTACACATTTCTAATAGGATTGCAACGTGTTTCAGCCGCTTTGGAAAACAGTTGGTAGTTTCTTATGAAGTTAGACATACACCGACCTTCTGATTTGGCAGTCCCTTCCTATGGTGTTTACTTAAGAGGAATGAGGATGTGTGTTCACACAGACCTGAATGCCCCTAGCTGCTTTATTCATAGTAGCCAAAACGTGGAAACAGCATGAGTTTCTTCAACTGATGAATAAACTAATTCTCCAATACCCATCTAGTCAGTGAAATACTGTTCAGCAGTGGAAAGGAACCAAAGTTCTGTTACAAGCAACAACATGGAACCTGACACAAAAGTCAGACTTTATGATTCCATCTCAGTGACTCTAGATAAGTGATTTTCAGGGACCAGTACTGGTGGGTAAAGGAGGTGACATGGGGGCATGAGGAAGTTTGGGGGTGATAGCATGTTGTATGTGATCACTTGGTAGTCTTTATACATTTATCGTGTAGACAGGTGCATATGTTTGTCAACACTCATTGAACTCAACATTTAAATGCTGTGTTTTGTGTCTAAATCATACCTCACTAGAGTTGTATTTAGGGGGAAGAGGAGCCCAAGGTAGTATACTGGGGTGTGGCCTTGGGCATTGACTTGTTTTACAAACAGCTTAGCTGATTCTAACGCTGTCCTAGACCAAGTGGTAAGTTTTCAGCTGTGCAAAACTAGCTCCATTATTAAGTGAAAAGCACAGTAAGTTTTGCTTTCTAAAAATTGATTCTTCAGTGAACGTGTTATAAAAATATGGAGAGATTTGATTTCTAAGAGGAAAGTTTGTTTTTAGTCCAGATAACTTTAAAGTTTAAAAGAATATGCCTAAATTGTTTCCTAAGATGTTTTTCAAGGTTTAGTTTATTTCCTTGAAATTCAGGTCTTAAAACATGAACACCAAATAAGCTCTTCCTTAACTCTTTCTGGCAAAACAGAAACAACCAACTGTGTTCAGCTTATGATTGCTTTTTGGTTTGTGTGTGTGTAAATGTTAAGGCTGTTGCCTAATGACTCATGTTGCTATCTTAGACCTTAGGAGTTGGTTCTTATTTAGAAAAGAATATTTATTTATTTTTAGAGAGAGGGAAGGGGAGGGAGAAAGAGAGGGAGAGAAACATCAATGTATGAGAGATACATCGATCTGTTGCCTCATGCACAACCCAGGCATGTGCCCTGACTAGGAATTGAACTGGTGACCCTTTGGTTCACAGGCCAGCACTCAATCCACTGAGCTACACTGGCCAGGGCAGAATTTAGGACTTGGTTCTTAATCCTGCCTGCACATCAGAGTCACCTAGAGAGGGTTCATGTCTGCACCTCCAGACCTGTTAAATGAGAATCTGGTTGTGGGATTGTGTCAGAATTTGTAAAAGTCCCTCAGTTCCAAGACTGAAAACTACTGCCCAAAGGGAAGGTTTATTTTAACCATTGATTACTGCCCATACTAGTCAAGAGAAGATAATATATATATGTATCTTGATTTAACTTGGGTAGAAAACATATTTTCATGTATTTATTTTGTGCCTGGCATAATATAATGTAAGACTTATTACAGTATAAGACTTACTACATATGTAAGACAGTTTCCCCATCTTGCAAAGCTAGGAAATCAGGTTCAAAATAATTTGTTACAGAATGTAACAGAATATGTTAGTGTTGCAGAATAGGCAGTATATCATAATAGTTATGAATAATAATAAAAGAAGCTAACATTTATACGGACTGTTTACCCTCTACTGTGTATTGTCTGTATATTACCTCATTTAATAGAACAGTGCTTTGAAGTGTTGGCACTATTATAGTTTCTACTCTGCAGCTAAGTAAAAAGTTAGTTCCCACTATACAGTTGAGTAAAAAGAAATTGTGCTTTGTGAACTAATAACTGGTAGAGCTGGGATTTGAACTAGGCTTTATAACTCCAGAGCCCACATTATTAACCATCGCCCAAAGCTGGAGCTCTGGCAGACGTGGGGTTGATGGAGTCTCGGCCCTGCAGTTTACATCGTTAAATTCTGTCAAGCCACCTGTTCTTCTGTTCTTTCAGCTTGTGATGTAACTTCCTGGAATAAATATCAACAATGTGTGGTAGTTTATCAGACAACATTTCCGTCCTCACAAGATGACAACAACTTATCCTGTTCATCTTTGTTTCTCTAAAAATCAGCATGGATTCTTCATTAGTAATTCAAAAAAAAAAAAAAAAGAATAGTTGCATTAATTCTGTCCAGAAAGCTTTGCAGAGGACGTGGCATTTGTGATGTGCCTTGACTGCTGAGTGGAATTTCTCAGGCAGGGAAGAGAGCTAGGAAGGGCCATCCCGGTGTCAGGGGGTGGTCCTCCGAGTGAAGGGGCCTCTTGGGGCCTGGTGAGGGGTGCTGTCTGCAAGGAGGGGGATTCCTGTGGGGAGAGTGGCTGGGGCGTGAGTGTTGGAAGTCAGAATTAGTGATGGACGGCCTTGAATACCATGCCGAGATGTTTGTTGTATCTTTTTCCTTTTTAAAAAATCTGATGGTAGAAGAAAATCATGGCAGATTTTAAAGCAGGGTCAATGGTAAATTCCCATGTACACACATTGTAACTTTTTAAAAGCTACCTGATAATAATAGTGTAGAGTACATTAAAAAGGAAAATAGGAGTTGGGAAGACCAGGTTGGATACCTTTCTAAGGGAGAGATGGGCTTCAACTGAGGCGGTGGGGCTGCTGCAGACCTAGTTCACGGTAGTAAGCAGATGCAGGCAGAAGTGTTTTTCACGTGGTGCTGTGGCTCAGTGCTTTCAACTCCTTCAGGGTTATTTGCCAAAAGTCAAGTAATGTTCTGTTTTTGAAAATGTTCTATGATATCTCCAAGAAAACCTTAGTTTTTGTTCAAAGTAATGGAAGGGAGCCACTTATACAAAACCACACCAATATTTTGAATTGTTTCTTTGGCACCCAGAGGTGATTTGTGTTGAGACGGTGCTCCACTGAACTTTAAGTAGGAGAATGATAAACAGGAAACGAGAACATTTATGACCGATGCCTGACTGAAGGTATCATCTCAAACACATCAGTTTTTGGAAGCAGTATTTAGTCTCCCCCAACTGCATGGGAAACCCTCAGGTCCCCCCAGCGGTGTGTGTATTCCAGTTTAAAGGCTGCTGCACTGGCCTGGGGGCGGGGACCTTGATGATGGGGAAGCGCTGGATTGGAGAGCCCCCGGGGTGGGGTAACAGTACTCAGGGGTTTTCTCTTGTGAATTACTTTTCAATGGGTGTCTCTTTTCTGTAAGCATCAAGAATGTTATTAACTAAGAAGGATGCTAAAAAAGTATTAGGTTGGCTAGAAATAGTAAATATCTTGCTTTACATTTATTCTTGAACTAGTTTGTCATTTAATTATGTATTTATGTTTAGGGGTTTGGTTGTACTTTGAGAAATACGCACTAAACTCTTCCTAGGCTCCTCTGAAGTATTTACAGGTTGCTATAACAGCAAACATTCAAAGTTTAAGAAAGCCATTTAATTATACTAAAGCAGACCAGAAACAGATGTTAACTGGGGCAAGTTGCACTGCATTAAAAAATTCCTACTGTAAATTGTTTCTTACTTACTAATATGAGAATTAAAGTTGCATGAGACATTAACAGTCAGTATAGGCTTCTCAGTATAGGAGATTGTTATGGAGTGAAACTCAAAGTGATAAAAAAATACATAAGATCTTTTTGTGAAGAAAGGTAAATCTTCAAGTGGATTCGAGCAAGCTACAGGCTCTGCCAAGTTAACTAAACTGTTCAGGTAGATGTAATACCTAGGAACAGGAGATTGTCCCAGATATCTTTGAAAGGCCCCAGTTACCAAATTATTTAAGCAATAAAAATCTTAGGAGACCTTATGGGCATCTTGGTTTTCATAACATGTTTAGTCTATTATGGGGGGATGTTAAATTGGTAGCATAATACAGCATGTATTTTGAAAGACTGTGTTTAGTGGACTCCCATCATTTGCACATAAAACATGTGGGAATTCAGCCCTGACTGGTGTGGCTCAGTGGGTTGAGGGCTGCCCTGCAAACCAGAACGTCACCAGTTTGATTCTTGGTCAAGGCACATGCCTGGGTTATAGGCCAGGTCCCCAGGTGGGGGCAGTGTTTCTCCCTCCCTTCCCCTCTCTCTAAAAAGTAAATAAAACATTTAAAAAAAATAATCTTAAAAAGAAAAACCCTGTGGGAATTCAACCATTATCCTAGTCAGTGACTGGACATGGGGGCTCCAGAAAGCAGAGAGACATAAATCTGCTTGCTGTTCCTTTGGCCCATCTCACTTTCTCACTTCTCATGGTGGACCTCAGTGCACTAGTGTGATTCTGACGTTTGAAGATGCGTGTTTCTACACCGCACAGCGCTCCAGTGCAGGTTCAGCTGAACAGTTGTCTTTCCCAGGTCTGGGATGGTGTCTCCCTTCCATGAGGTATTTTCCCATAGGCTGTTGAAGGGTAATTTGACTGCAATTTTTCTTTGCCATTTATGTGGTTTGGAACCTAACCTCCCCAAGAAGATGGAGTCGCATTGTATAAGACTGGGTACTAGGAAAAAATTTTTTTAGTCTGTGCTCAGAAAGTCACTGTATTTGCATTGCTACAGAATTTTGGAAAGGACGGATATTCTTTTGGTTCTGTCTTTGTAGGAATATTACCCTTTTCACATCCTATTTTTTTTCCCCTCTAGTTGTGGCAATTTATGATTATACAAAAGACAAGGAAGATGAGCTGTCTTTTCAGGAAGGAGCCATTATTTATGTCATCAAGAAGAACGACGATGGTTGGTATGAGGGAGTTATGAATGGAGTGACTGGGCTCTTCCCTGGGAACTATGTTGAGTCTATCATGCATTACTCCGAGTAAAGCTCAGCAGGGCTGTTTCCCTCACAGAAATAGTCGGGACTTCCCAGGTCACCCCAAGGCCCTGGGATTCCCTCCAGTGAAGTGAATGAAGGATACGAATGATAAAAACTACTTACGTGTTTTTTACTCCATTTATCCCCCAGTATTAAAACAACAAAGCAAGCTGAGTGTGAACAAATTAATTTTTCTGACATCATTTGTACTATGCTAAGCTGTCTGGATTGAAATAAAGTGACGATTTCTGAATATGTGGGAGGTATAACAGCAAAACTATGTAAAACAAATCAGGTTAAGACTGATTCAGAACAAAAATCTGGGATCTTTCTCAGGAATACTGTACACCTGTGGGATTTCTCCTCCTGCAGAACCCAGCATTGCATTGGATGTTCTTCAGTGCCTGTGCTAAAGGGTTAGCCAGCCCTGTGGCTACTGCGTCCCCTGCACTCTCTTCCACTTCTGTGAGGAGGGAACCGATATTTGAATACCGTACTTAACCATTTGTAGTTGTTTCAGGTGGCTCATTTTAACACTGTAAATTCTGCATTCTCTCAGCACTTGGGTGCATCAGGGTTAATGCTGAACTGATTTGCATCCCTTCATGTTTCTCAGTTTGTGGATTTTGATGAAATGAGTCTCCAAACATTCTGAGGGTGGTTGAATTGCCAGTTTCAGTTTAATGTGCTGCTGTTGCATGAGACTGCATTGCCACTAATGGCCAGTGCACCCAGATGAGTGAAGCTTGGGAGCCTGGTTCATGTGCTGAAGTAGGCCTTCGAAGCTAGACAGGAAGGTTCTTAACGTTCCAGAAGAGGTTGAACTGTACAAATGTGCTGCCCAGTAGGCATCCTAAATCCTTGCCTCGGGTTGGTTTGAGGAATAGGATTTTGAAAGTCAAACCAACTATCTCTTTACTTTCACTATTTAGAAAAACGTTCTTTTTACGAAAATAGTTATTTTCGTTTCTTGATAGTCACTGGGTATAAAAGGCTTGCTACTGTAATCTTGGAATGTTATTAATGGCCAGTGTTAGCTGCTGCTGAGTTGTTTACTCACTTAACTCTAGAAAAGGTAAATACTCTCCTGATTTTGTGGTTGGTTTTTGAAGTAGCTTCCTTTAGTAAGAATTTGAACCTGGTTTCTCAGACTAAGAATAGTGGGATAAGGCTAAATACTTATCCAATTACATAGATTAAAAACTGATACAACTTTGAAAGAAACAGTATTTTTTAATCTGCCCCATTATAGCTTCAAGTTCAGTGCAGATGGTAGGTTGATGGCTTTAATCATTTCTGTAATCAGTATAAGAAATACTGAAAAAAATCCAGGAGGGCTTTGCTGCTCAGCAGGTGAACACCTGGTGATGAACTAGCTCATGGTCAGGCCCACCGCTGTCCCAGTGACTTATCCTGCAGAGAGCTCTGTCAGGTGACTTCCCTGTGCTGGGTCAAAGGGAAGAGGCAATAGCTGCCTATACAGTTGACCCTTGAACAACATGGGTTTGAATTGCACAGGTCCACTTACATGTGGACTTTTAAATCAATCAATACAGTCACTCCAAACCTCTGGGTTTTGCATCTGCAGATTCAACCAGTTACTATTAAAAACAGTATTTTCAATCTGCAGTTGGGAACCCAAAGATGTGGAGGACCAACTATACAGAATTATTTTATGTCATTTTGTATAAGGGACTTGAGCGTCCAGGGTTTTTGGTATCTGTGGGGTGGGGGAGGTGAGGTATTGGGTCTGGACCAATCCCCTATGGATACAGAGGACTGACTATAGTTGAGTTTGGGAGAGTCAAGTTATAGGTGGATTTTCAGTTGCACAGGTCTCAGTGCCCCTAATTCCTGTGTTGTTCAAAGATCAACTGTAATGCACATGCAGGCCTTGCACGTGAGATAGTGCAGATAGAGGAACTTGACAAAAAATGAATGTGTGCAGCAGTGTGTGAGGGAATTCAGTCGATGAAGGCAGAAGTTAATATTCTACTTGTGAATCTGAGCACAAAACTTCATCACCATTTATTTAACTGAAACCCAGATACAGAGCTCCCTTATCAAGACTTTGTTGTGAAGTTGCAGTCTGCCCTCCCCAACCCAGCACACACACACACACGCGCACATGTCAGAGATTTTGCCTTTAGGTCTCTTCAACACTTTACCTTTGCCTCTGTGCTTTTGTGTCACCTCAACATCCATTGTTCTGTTCTTTAAAGTAAAAGCCCTGAGTGTCCTCCGAACCTTCAGCTTCATTATGGACCCAGCCCTAGCCTATGTGTATATAGATTAAACTCTTATTGTTGGAGTATTTAGGAAATTTAAAATTAGATGTTCCAATTATTTATTTAAATACCTTTTGCTGAGAAAGCTTAGTGGATTTAATAAGGCAGAGGGATTCTGGAACCCAACAAATAGTTCCACAGCTCACACCGCCAGCAGGTGACCGTGCAGGAGTCGGTGGTGGTCGGCCGCCTGTCGGGCGGCTGGACTGCGGAGCGTGGAAGACACCGCTCACGTCCTTCGTGCTGGAAACCTGCAGCGGGGGACCCACGGGTCAGCTGATTTTTTCTATATTATTTAGTACTAATGTGTGATTTTTTGTTTTAAAAAAATATATGTTGGATTTTCCACATACTTCAAATTTTTGTACAGTTTTGAATTCTGTATAGTCTTGGAAGGATACTATGTAATGATGGGCCAGGCCTACAGTGATTGGAGACTTTTATGTGTGTAATATTTCATAGATTGCATGCTACTAATAGTCTGTGAGGGTAGTATTTCTTGTTTTAGTGTAAGTTTCCCCATTTATCTTTTTATAAACCAGATGAAACGGTGGGCAGTAGGAATTCCAAATGAATGTGGAAATCTTACATGCTACATAGTATTGTGGCAAAGGCCATCTAAGTTTAAAATGTGCTGACCGCCAAGCAACCATACTATCAGGATAGAGAGAATCTAATGGGAGAGGGATTTATTTTTCCTTCTGAAATGTCTTTTTGACTTGCTGTTCACTCCCTATTTCCTTTAAAAAAAATAAAATGTAAAAAGGAGTGACCCAACAGTTGTTCCTTTTTTTCTATTACTGTTTGAAAGGCCATGGTGGTATGAATGAAAATATATTTGTTGCCATTGACCTTATGGCCAAGGCAGTAAACCAGAAAGTGTCAACTTGTCAAAACCGAGACCGGAGAGATCCAGCCTGCTGTTAGAAGTACGAAGCTTTTGTGGCTCAGTATTTTCCACCTGTTGGCTGTTGGCTTCTATCTCCCTCAGGGGCACGTGAGGGTTGGCAGCAGTCTGGTACTTTTGCAGGGTTCCTGGAACTCACCAGGTGAGATGTTTTCTCTCTCCTTTCCCCCCTCCTGCTTCTGTTTTATTACCCAACTAGAATTTTACTCGCCTTCAGTGATTTCTGTAAAGTAGCTGCTCCTTGGCAGTCTTAGGTTGATTGAAGATGATTTACTTGAGTTGTCTGAGGGGCATCAAAGTGATGATAGTTTGGTTTTATCCTTTTGTGTTCATTTTCTTTTAGTAGGTGACCCTTCTGCATTAGGAACTGTTCTTTTATTTTTCTTACCATTTCTGCTCGGTGGAGAGCAAGGCCACCTTTCCTGTTGAAAAGCATTTGATGGAGGAAATGACAGGTTTTTGAAAGAATGGGGATCTGAATTCACAGCTGTTTTGGCTAGGAACTCTCGAGTGATGTCACGGTGATGAGTTCCCTCACAGGATTTACTTAGAATCATAGAATTTTAGCGCTAGATGAGGTTTTAGTTCAATCTCACTTTACTGATGATGTAGATGTTTTATTTCAGGTAACAGCTAATAATGGTCAAGTTTATGACTCAGTGCCACTTGGTACTCTTTCTACAATTGTCTTAATTAAATGTGCCGTATGTTTCTTTAAAATTTGTTAATACTTGATGTCCTCAGGAAGATACTTGAAAAGATATGCTATGTTCCAATAAATACCACCGGAGTATTCAAATTGGTTTAAAGGAGTATACTAAGTGCAACCTTAATTAGGGAAATCTTCATTTTAACCCTTCCAAAACTACACACAATACGAATGTTCTTTTCCATTAGGTGTATGTAACAGAAACATTTCAGCACTGGCAGGAGCACAGCAAACAGCCTTATTTGTGAGCCTTATAAAGCATTTCTTTTGTTACACTGGGGCATCACACTCATTACATAAGTTTCCTTTATGCTGCTCTTCGTTCCTATTGCTCATTGACAGTCGCATAGTTCTTTGAAAAAAACTGACAAATGAAACGACAGGGCCTAGCTTGTGTATGATAATCCTTGCTAAGTATCCTGAGGTTTTTGTTTTGTTTTGTTTTACAAAAACAAAACAACCCCACCAAAGCCAAAAACCTTCTTTTCACATTAAAATAAAAACACCTTTGCAACTTCAGAATTCTATGATAAAGCAGTTTTTATCATATTTTGTGTCCATGCATCTTTCTCCTTCACAACAGGGTGGTTTACAAAGAGAACATAAACAATTTGTGATCTGGCCAGGTGTACTTTTTAGCTCCCAGGAGTGAGGATTGGTGGTCCAACCAAAAAACATGCAAGAAAACCTGAGGGAGCAGTCTGTTGCCAGGAATGTGTCTTGTGTGTGCCATTAAACCACCTCCATGCGTGGGGGAGCATTCACTTTTTAATTTTGAAATTGTATGTGGAATTGTTGCTATGTACTAAGACCTTGACCTAAATAAAGTCCCATGAAGTGTAAGTGTCTTGTGAATATATTTATGCAAGTAACCTGTTTTCTTTCTAAGGTGGTAAGTTTAAGTGTGGAAGAAAAATCCTTTCCTGTTGCTCTAAACAAGGCAGCTCCTATTAAGGCTTAAGAATTTGAAATATTTTAAATGTTGCCTTAAGATAGTTTTCATCTCTGTGGAATTTGAAGACAGCGGTTCTAAATAGTTAGGTTTACTTGCAAAAATAGGGATAGAAGTTTTCATCACTCCCTCCAAATACATGTAATTCTTTTAATACAAAAAGGAACGCTTACCTGTTGTTGGATACCCCAACATAAATAGCAAAACCAGGTTCTTTAATGGTGCCAGTCCACAGTCAAGTAAAACCTCCATATTTAAATGAAATCTATTCTTTTTTATTAAGGATTGGGTAAGCTGACATAGTGAAAACATGTAATTGAGAAACAAATTTACACTGACTGTATGACTACTGTCCTAAGCCATTACAATAGTTCACTGACAGTAACTGGCAAGAGTAACTTGTAAAATAACTTAATCCAGCAGTAGAACAAAAAACATCCTCAGTAGTACTGAATAGATCTCTCTCATATATCTCTATCTATATATATATATAGGTTTGCACAATCAGGGAGCAAGGCACATAATGAAATGAGAGCGTACATTTAAGCAGAAGAAAAGAACGGTGAAAGAAAAATGGTAACTTCATCTTTACCGAGCTGTGCACAATCATTTGAATAGTGTCCTCTATCGGGTACTTTATAATGCAGCTCCTTTTGCCTTCTTTTTCATGCTTTAAAAAAGTATATTCCTACATTGTATCTATTCACGTATTTATAGCAAAGCTCTCACAGCCTACACGTCAGTGTGAGCATTGACTCAATTTTTTTTGAAGAAATGTGAAGAGAAGGAGCAATCCCAGTAAAATATAATGTGCAATTTTCCTTTAAAATAGTAAACAATGTTTTTACACCATTTAACACAAGCTAATGATATTTTGTTTTACATGTACATTTCTATAAAAGTTCACTAGTGGCTGATAATAAAATTAAGCAAAATCATTCGAAACGTTCCAGTTAATGCATATTTTCTAGGAGAGATTATTTACAAGTAGAGAAAAAATATAGGAGACGGCAATTGTGGAAAATGGCAGTTTTTGGTATTAGGTTACAATACATTTAACAAACAATGGACATTCCCAAAATACAAAGATTTTTTCCCTTTGAGTGCTGCAAGTATATTCTACCTGTGAGGAGGCTGAGGCTTCAACACTTGGAGCTTGGTGTTCACAGCCACCTGTGATCAGCATCTCACTTCTGCACGTCACCATCTTTTTAACTGTGTCGTGTTTACTGTTACCCTGACTCAACTCGCTTCTCTCAATGTCTTTGGTAGAAAGCAGCCAGTCCCCGTTTAGGTAGATGAAGCCATCTCTTGGGAGATAGTCACTTTTTCTATTTTTGCGTAAACTAGAAATACTCACCTTCCTTCTCTTTCATTAGCACCTCAAAGTTTGCTTGTTAGATTTTTTTTTTATGCTCTTCCTCCAAGAGTTCAAGGCACTGGGGATTGTAGCAGATCCTGTTTTCTCCTCAAAATGGTTTTATTATTTCAACAAGCAAAGAGCAAACCAAGTGGAGATTTTATTTTGTCCTTCAATTGCTTATCTAGTATATTGTTGGCTGATTTTTATTTAGCAAGTTTATTTTACAACTAAATGTCAGATTTCTTTTACACACAATATAGACCTTCCAAGGGTATAACAATAACAGAGCACTTGTGTAGTTTGGGGGACAGACTGGTAAGGTGTAGAAATGCTGTTCTCTTGATTTTTAAAGGAAAATAAATGTTAAAAGGTAGTGGGGTATTTTATTCTGCTCTACTTGCATCTCTCTGTGGATCAAATCTCAACTTTGAGTGTCATGTATTCTTGCAGGATTAGGGATATCCTGCTTTATACACATGATGTAAAGTATATAAAATAAAACTCAAAGTGCCAAAAGGGACTTACAACCTAAAGTGATTTTTAGTAAAGAGACAGAATCCTCTTATCAAGTGTATAAACCCAAATTATTACTCCTACTTCATTGAAAGCAAGTCTGGGTCATTTAGGTTTAATTGGTCTATGCTTGAATAAAATATGTGAGATGACATTAGTTATAATTTGTTAGCTCTTCATATTAAAACATTTGGTAATATCTAAAACTAGGAAAACAGTTTTGTTTAAAATTACCTTGTGTTTGGAATAACACAAAATTGCTTTTAGCAGCAGAGGGAAAAGGTGACACAAGGTTCCACTGGAGACCTGACAGTCAAATGAAACCAGTCCACAGCATTACCTGACAATTCTTCTCATGCTAATTTACAGCTTTACATTTTTGACACAAGCTTATTAACAACTATATTTTCCCAGAATAGCAGCTTTTGAAACTCTTAATTGGATGCACAGCTCCTATTAACCTTGATCTGAGTTGTCACTCTACTAGAATCATTCACAATCCCCTAACTTTGTTTAAACTTTCTGGATAAACTCAGCATTCTTTTCAGTGGCAATTCAACTTACAGGGAGAAGGGATTTCTCAAAGAGTTCACAGCCCTTAGCAGAAGATGCCATCAGTGGCCAGAGCACCGTGATTTCAGAGGACTGGAAAACACCATGTCTGCATTACTTGGTTTGAAATCTAATGAAAATGGTGTCCTATAACTTTCAGGAGTCCACAATCTTTCTCATTTTAAAAAGTCTCAAATTTTAAAAATTTAAGGTAAAGACCTTAAGAATATTTACTTTTCCCAAGTGAGAGTTACAGTAACCAAGGGAAAAAAATGCATGTATTTATTCAAGTAGTAAAAGCAAAGCTGATAAAATTTCAATAGAGAATAGCCTGACGTTTATATATAATATATATACCTATAAACCTGACGTACTTGTTGCTGACCTTCCCGGTTGGTGCCAGAACTTCCTTTAGGCAGAGGGTGACCAACTTGGCAATCATCCATGGATCAGGGTGTCACTAGCTCCGACAGGCACCTGTCCACACCGCCCCGGACAGCAGGATGTGCGCCTCCACGCCGTGCACTTGTCAGTACAGCCAAGTCAACAGTCCAGGTGTTCTTCGACTTGAAGATGCTCGGTTGACTTAGAGCTGCTCAGCAGAAGGCAGTGGAGAAGGCACAGAGCTGGTGTCATCTGGCAGTCGGTGCTCACCATTAACACACCAGGGGAAAGGAACAATTACAAAAACGAGTAATCTCAAAAAAAACAAAAAAAAGCCACCTCCCCAAGCCCCACTAAGCTACATGCCAACAAAAACCCACTAGGGTGTCATAATTTAAAGTATCATTCTTTTAAAAAAAATTTAGTTGTTTTACACATAAAATAAAAATCGATTAACAGCCTTTTCCAAAAACAACTGTTGTCAGACAAGCCAGTGGGCTGGGTTAAAATGTGAGCTCCTTCTCGGAGCCAGCTCTCTTCTTGGTGTCCCTAGTGTTGCTCTAAAAGATGTCTGCTCCTTCAGAAGCGCCAGTCCAGGGTGGCTGTCCTCAGGACGGACACAGCCAGAAGTCCCAGGAAAGCCCACACTGAAAAACCAGGCTGTATCTTCGGGTTCAAATCATGGGTGAAGGAAGGTTGAGGGTAGGTGATTTAAAGATGAAGTTGTAAAAAGAGACAACCATCACAACAAAAAACCCTAGTGACAGATGTATCACTGGATTCATATTCTCAACTCTTTGCCTCACAAATAAGGGCGATTCTTGGAATGTAAAACTAGGCAGAGACTGTGGGATGATCACTTCACTCATAATTCACACTGGAGCTTGGCAACCTGTACCTATATGTTACACAGATTGCTGCGTGTGCTTAAATTAACAATGCAGATGTGTTCAAGGCCACCTCATAAGCATATCAATGCACACAAACCTTGTGGACAACTGAAAAGATCCAAAAAGTTATCTTTTAAAGAAGCAGGGCTTTACAAAAATGCACCATGGTATGTGTGTTCCTACTGCTCTACAACCGCACGAGTACACTGAGCAATGCGCCTCTTCTTTCTGGGATGCGACGCTGTTGGAGAGTCGGTTACGTGGACATCAGGCGCACACCTCACATCTTCTCCTGTGGGGCAGCGTCACAGACGTCTGCAGTCTGCACTGGGAATCCTCAGTCTCCACAGGCAGAGACTTTCATTATAAGATGTGCTCATTTATCACTCTTGGGATGGCTTGTTTTCTTTTGTTTCATTTAAGAGCAGCTCTGAGACTGCATTTTATTCCTAATGGTCAGTTTATCATCACATTATTTCAGTAATAAAGGAAAATTTACAGGGAAAAAACATATTAATTGCAGTGTGGGGCAACTGTGCCAATAGCGTGATGATTTCATGTGATGCCAAACTGCACGTGCACAACATGTGATGCCACTCACTGTCCTTGGACCGCACCACGCTCCCAGACCCCCAGACCGGGCCCCACAAGCAGGCTGCAAGGACCGAGGACCCGAGCGTGCTGCCGCGCCAGAACCTCCTTTGTTCTCCCCTCTGTGACAGCCCTGCGCCGAAAGGAAGTTGTTGGTATTACACGGTACAGTCCACATGCAACCTGATGAATGACACCTGCACAGGGGCCACTTTGGTCACTTTTGTAGTCACTCCAACCTCCCAGAGATGAAGACACGAAGACATTTCAGAAGGGGACTTTGTTTTTCATAATGATGCAGCTTATTAGACAACAGGACGGGTATGTTTGATATAGCAACTGTCTAGATACCTAGGATCAACATCTACCTAAAGCACACACTTAAAAGAAGGTAACTCGTGACCCAAAAACATACTGGGACTAAACATTCCAGGATACTGTGTTGGATATTCTCTTAAAGTCAAAGCAAGGACTGTGAAGCCAAGGTTGATGAAGCTTCACAAAGCCCATGGAAAGATTCCAGCAGGATTAAAAGAACCATCCAAGGTTATAGTACTAAATTGTCCACGTATTGTAGGCAAAGAGCTTACCTGGGGCAGCGCGCCCTAGATACAGGTGGTCACTGCAGCCAGCGTGATGCTGTCGGTTGACCTCAGACACAAAACTGCGTGCAGACAGTGTCTGAAACTCCCCCTAGCGCCCTATTCACCCATTCAGTGAAGCTGAGAGACTTTCCTGATTAAAGTGCTCCTTCACGTACAGTAATGAAGTGTCAAACAGCTCTGACTTCAGCCGACTGGGGTAAGAAACACAAGCCCTACAGATGACACCAAACATTCCGGTTGTCTTCTCAAACTGAGAAACAGCCATCAGACATCTACTCCTTAATATATAACACACAACATGCACAGAGAGGCCGCATCTGGAGACTGTACTAAAATACCTTCTAACTACGTCATCAGAAGTTGTTTGGGTCCAACCCACATGACAGATACCAGGTATCATGAGGGACAGGACACGCCCCCTCCTGTGCCTCTTCTGCCCAAAATACACAGAATCCACTTTCAGACTAGAAGAAATAAGGAATAAACAATCATTCCCAGTTATATATGTACATACACACATACATGTATACATATATACATATACACAATATAACTGTGTACACGTGTACACACACACACACACAGCTGGACACTACCTGAATAACATACCAGAAGGCTCTGAACACCTGAATTCGGGGATGATCAGGTGAGCTGATTGTAGAACTCATCACAGATACCACAAAAATAAAGTCCTATGTTAACTACCAGTCTCTTGAGAGCTTGGTGTTCTGGTCTCTCTTGGGAGGAGCCGGGGGAGGTCCTCTCCGTAACGTCGCGTAGCCCGATATATGACTTCCTCCATAACCAGCTTTCTGTTGATCAGAGAGCAATTCGGGGGGCGGCGGGGGCAATGCCATGTCATCCATGGTGGCTGTGGGTTCTGCTCTGGACATGCGGGAGGAGGAGAGCGAGCCATGCCGGGTGATGGACTTCCGCTGCAGTGTCCTGTTGAGGTCTGCCAGGAACCCGGGCTGGACACTAAGGCTGGTCTTGGGAGAGGTGGGCACTTGTGGCACAACTGTGGGTGCGGCTGGCTGCTCAGAGGCCTCCGCCTGAGTGAGGCGCGTGCTGTCATTCCGTTTGGGGCGTGTGGGCGGAGGGGCCTTCTTCACGGATGTTCTGGACCACTGCTGTGGCTGAGGACTGACAACTGCCACTTTCGGAGAAACGTTTCCCAAGAACGCTGCTGGGATCTCTACGGGGGGCGGAGGAAGCTCTATTTCAGGTGGAGGGGGTGGAAAGTCCGAGTCCGATGGAGGAGAAGGAAATTCTGCCACGGAGTCCTTTCCACGCCCACTCAGGACAGATGCTTTTGCTGCCACGCCCCCCTGTTGGAGAACTCCAGGAAGGTTAACTCCAGAAAGGTTTAGTTTTCCAGGTTTGGGGGGCGCTGCAGGAGGTGGTGCGGTCTCCTTGTTCGGAGACCCAGAGGGTTCGGCTGGCGCCGCGAACTTGCTGACCAGGCTGTCCACCGAGGGCCTCTTAGGCTCAGGGTGCTCCGCACAACTGCTGGACTTGATGCTGGAGTTGCGCTGTGGGGTCGGGGGAGGTTTCTTCCCCCCGGGGCTGGCTGTCTTACTCGTCTTTTTGCCTGGAGAGCCACTTCTGTCAGGGGCAGGAGAAGCTGTGGGAGTGGCTGGCAGCGGTGGCGGGGCTGGGACAGGCGGCGGTGGAGGAGGAGGAGGAGGAGGAGGAAAGGCCAGGCTGCTTTCAGGGGGAGGGGGAGGGAAATCTGGAGAAGGGACGGGGATGGAGCTGGGCTGCCACTTGGGTTTTGCTTTCACAGCAGGAGGGGACTGCGGGGCTACATTTGCTGTGACTGGCTTTAAGGGCTGTGACTCCACAGGAGGAGGGGTTGGAGGTGGGGGGAACTGGCTGGCTATCTGCTTCACTACCGAGGGCACTGGAGATAGAGGAGAGGGAGGTGGCTTGACGCTGAAACTCTGATGCTTAGGTAACGTGGGTGGGGGGACTGGACCAGGAGGAGCAGCGGGGGAAGGTGGAATGGGAGGAAAAGCCGGCTGCTTTTTTGCTGGGGGGACTGGAGGAATAGGTGTAGGTGGCACAGCCTGTGTCCCAATGGCAGGCACAGTTTTGGTGCTGGTTGGCATGGTCACAAGAGGTTTGGGAGGGGCTTGGGGAGGGACAGGGGGAGGGGGTGGGGGTGTTGGAGGAGCTGCTTGAATAACATGCTGAACATGATGAATTTTCAGTGGGGGAGGAGGGGGACTGAACTGTGGAAGGGACTGGGTGCAAGGTGCAGGTTTTAGCTGGGCCATAGCTGAGCCAGGAGTGGGGGCGGGAGGTGGGGGAGGGGGTGGGGGCACCACTCCATTGGGGGGCACGGGGACCTGAGGCTTTGCTGGCTGTGAGGTCGTAGACAGAGGCTGCATCACTGAGGGTGGTGGAGGTTTAAATAGGGGTCCTGAATGCTGAGAAGCGTTTTGCAGCCTGGTTATCGTGCTGTACTTGACAAACATTGTGGCTGCTGAGCCCCCAGAAGGTGCAGACTGGCTGGGCAGGGGAGGGGGAGGTGGGGGCGGAGGAGGGGGTGGCGGAGGAGGGGGTGGGGGCGGGGGCGGTAGAGGAGGCGAGGGCTGGGAGGCAGTGTAGGGACTGACTAATTTAGGTTGTGGGGATAAAGGGGGCATAAGTGAGGTGTAGGATCGATTCAGAGAGTCCATTCTGGCCTAGAAGGAGTATAAAAGGTGGCAGGGGGGGAGAGAAAACACAATTAAAACAATTACAGAAGTGAACTCTGAGTGGGTGAAAGTAAAAGCGAAGACTCAGGGACATGCACGGAAAGATGCAGAAGCTGGTGATCGCAGTGACGGACAATGGCGGGAAGGGGGCGCCCTGGAGAGCACTGGCACAGGGGAAATTTGTTTACCTGGTGATATTTTGAAATAAACGGACTGCCTGATAACCTAGAAACAATTTCCCGTAGCAAAAGCCGTGTGAATGGTGCCGGGCTGTGCCACACGGGAGCCCTCTGTGGGAGAGCCTCCGGGCACTGGACCCACCCTGACTCTGTGGCAAGGGGACATGTGGTGGCTCAAGTTCAAATTTCAGTCCATGATGCATCTGCCTCGGGCAGATGCTGTAACTGGTGTAGGGTGCTGGTGGGGGGCCTCCTGAGGAGTGAGGATGGCTTTTTGGTGCTAGTAAGCCTCCACATGAGAGTATGAGAGTGTTTAGCAGGCGTGCACAGTCACACAGGAATGAATGAGCTTGACACACACACTTGTGTCCGTATGAGACACTTGCATCCAACATGCACAGAAGTCCAGCAATGCAGGTAAAGAGGGGGCATTCTTTACATTTGTTTTACTGGAAAATACATAAAGAAATGCTTCATAAACATTAAAGCAAAAGGTCATAACAATATCATACAGAAAAAGCCAAAAGAAAGCGAGAGGAAACTAGAAGTCTAGGTAGGACAAAGGAAACGTATCCAGAAAGGGGAGCTCGAGTTGGCCAACAACCCGCCGAGCACCTCTCAGTGCTGCCCAGACCACACCTGGCCGTGCACCTCATGGAACTCCTCATGCGTGGATGTGACTCGAGCACTTTTGAAAAGAGCAAAGAAGAACCCTTGGCTTAGTAACTCAGGGTGCATCTTTTAGGTCTTTTGAACATCCTATGAGGATCCGAGATAAAACCATTTGTTTCCAATTATGAATGACATCTAATTAGCATGGAGAAAACTTAGGTTAGTGAACTAGAAGACTCATTACAGGGCTGAATTCTAATGCTCATTAGGACACTGGAATGTTTCTTTAAAAACTACACATCAAAGTAAAAGCATTAGTCTGCAAGACTTGGTTACAGGAGTCACCCAGGTTAATTTGTTTCCACAGAACAGCCCCTGACCTTAACTTGACCCTGTCTTGGATGCTGCAGGGGTGCAGAGCTTAGCTGTGCTGGCCTTCTCATTTGGCACCTGAGACTGAGGTAACACAAGAAACACACAGGGGTCAAGACTCAGACACAGTCACTGCTGCACGGCAGGGCTCCCGCTCTTTCTGAAACTGCAGTGGGACTACTCTGTTTAACCAGAGCATGGAAACCTTTGTTTTCCTTGGCCTTTCATGTAAAATGCACGTAGAAAACACCATGAAAAATTCAGTAAGGGAAAGGCTTTTCTTCACGTGTCTGAATTGTGTCAACCTGCTTCTCTACCATGTACATCGAGTTATTAGTACCAGACACGGGGGGGGGGGGTGCTCCACCTAAATTACGTAGGGAGTTAAGCAAACTATCAGTGTTTTGAGAATTCAGGTCATTAGAACCAATTTTCAAGTATTTACTTCTAAGAGACCCCCACATTGGGTTACTATCCCTCCACCCTCCTGAGGGCCAGTTAACTAGATATGCAAATCAAGTAATAAAGCAAGGAAAATATCCACTTAATTCCCACTGAAGAATATACTTGCCTAAGTGATTAAGACCAAAGGAAGAAAAATAAATAAATAAAAACGGTTGTCGAGTAAAAACGAAATGGTCCTCAGGGATGGGCGCGTGCTCACCTCCTGAGGGGTGAGTGCAGCTGGGAAGCTCCTTCACCCACAGAAAGCCAGATGGTGTTTCCCAACTGTCTAAAGAACCGCTCCACGTTTCTAAATAGTCCAGCAATAATTACACTTGTCCTCAGTGTCACTGAAGAAGCTACTAAGCAAGGCTCAGGGATCCAAAACTTTAAGGGGATAAATTTGAATGTAACCTTCCCTATAGGCCTTAATTTGAAAAAATTCATCAATGCTCAGAGAAATACCAAGAGGCATACAAGAAAAGATAAAGGAAGGAGTCTGAATAAATTAATAGCAAAGAAATAATCAGCCACTAGCAGCTTTTCTGGGACAGAATTTGAGCACTGGCACTAAGTGGTCTTGCTCCATCCAAACTGATTAAGGAGGAGGAAGAAAACTGTTACTTCTTAAAAATCTGAGCCACCAAAAAAGAGTTACACTGCCAGGGTTTTGTGTTTGTTTGCTTGCTTTTTGAGATCTTAGGTCACTACAGCACATTCACAAATACTCATTTCTGAGGAGAAATCAAAGAATAAAGAAATACAGCCAAGAAAGATCCCTAATAAAGGAATGGAAGAGCAACAAGCTACCCCACAGAACGCCCCAGATTTCTCTCTAGCGATGATCACAAGTGTGTTACCTTGCTGCACTCCTCCAGCTGAGTGCCTCGCTTCCAGGCTTCAGAGAAGATGGAGCTCACGATGCTCTGGGAGCGGGCGTGCCCTGCCGGCTGGGTGTCGGACACTCCGCTGTCAGACTGATTCGAGTGGTTTGACTGAGACTCTGTTCGAAATAAATTTTCAAAAACAAGGTCACACAAGTCAGTGTTCTGACAGTATAACTATTTATGTTCAGGTAGATCTTTTACAAAAACTAAGTGCTATACAGAACAGCAACAAGTTACCTTTACTCATTTCATATAAAGCACAGCCTGTATATTCCACTAGGAAAATTCCCTTGCCTTAGGAGCTAATAGGAAATCTTGATTCATTTAAAACAGTTCATTCACCATGAGAGAATGATAATTACAATGAGAGGTTCACATACATATTGGTATCCCGATAATCTGTCTTGGAAGAACTCATGGCAAATAAAAAAATTAATGAACCAACAATAAAGGAGTGAATTTTTTTCAATTGTGTCTTCATTACATTGAGATTAAACCTTTTTACATATCACTGCTCCGGGCCATCCCACAGAGCTCTCACTTATGAGTTCGGATATACACATGATGACTGCATCCTCTTCACACATGATGACTGCATCCTCTTCCCAGCAGTGAACAGGACTCAGAATCTGCCCCCCAAGTGAGAAGTGTGTTTCCTAGAGATTCAGGCATCACAAGGCAGCCGCTGCTCTGTTGAGCCTGGCCTCCTGGGCAAGGCATGAAGACAAGCCTTTAAGGGAGCAGGGAATGGCTGAGGATAGGGTGTAATTTGACCCCCAAAGTGAGGGAACCAGGAAGGTCACTTCACTGGACTCCAAGTCAGGTAGGAGAGTCATGCAGAAGCACCTAGTCTAATGCCTGACATCTGGGGGAGGCTTAAGTGTTAAAGTTAGTTCTATCCAATCACTCTGTGAGAGATGGGTATTATTAGATTGCCCAAGATATTGTGCCCTCTAGCAATAAAAAAAGCTCATATACCTACTGAATATAATTCAGAAATTAGGGATTGCTCTGATTTTTAAGAATCATGCTGAAGTAACCAGGTCCACTAGCAGCCTGTAGAGACACATTCATATTGCTAGTAAACAGTGCTTTGGGCATTTCAAACTACCTGGGATGCTGGAAGAACTGGATCCTGACTTAATGCTGGAGCTGGATAAGGAAGTCCAATCATAAGCAGACTCTGTCCTCTTCAAGGCTTCTTGATAGTTCACGTAGAGCTGCTTCCCATACTAAACAGAAGGCAGTAAATGATGACATCTGAGCCTTATAGGGCATGACACGATCGGTGAGGTAGGAAAGGGTGACTGATACCTTTCTGTTTTCTGATTCATAGTTTGTATTAAAATTAATACCCACGATCCTTCAAAAGTTATTTTAACACCAGTAAATTATAATCTACCCTTATTTTCCCCCATTTTTACAAAGGCAGCAAGAAGTTAACACTTGATTGGGTTCATTATCAACATAAAGATTTTTTTCCAGTTATTCCTCAAGCCCCTTTGATTTTATAGCTATCTATAATGAAATTTTATTTCTAATTCTTGGCATAAATATTTCTTCAAGTATTTTGTACAGTCATCTTTAAGATGTCCTTTAAAATATGTTTTTTAAGACTTGCTTTTTTACAGAGCAGTTTTAGGTTCACAGCGGAATTATAAGGAAGGTCAGGAGACACCACCAGCTTGCAAACATGCACAGCTTCCTCCGTGACCAGCGTCACCCACCGGAGCGGTAGGTCCGTCTGTCGTTACAGTCAGTGAACCTGCATTAACATGTCAGCGTTACCCAAAGCTCGCAGTTTATCAGCGGTTCACTCTTGGTGTTATGTATTCTATGGATGTAGACACATGAATAATAATATGTATCCACTATTACAGTATCATACAGATTATGAATATTTTCACTGCCCTAAAAATCCTGTACTCTGCTTATTCATCGTTCCCCTACCTCAAGGCAACTTAATTTTCAAACTCTGCTATGTGAGCGTGATATAGCACTCCAAAGCCAAAATAATCACTTTGATGTTACACAAGCTTTTACCAGCAGTATTACTCCATAAATAGCACCTGTTAAAAGTATATGCTTATGACCAAAGAAAAAGACATTTAAAATTAAAACATAAGGCCTGAGAAAACTAGACATTGGCAAAATCACGAACATGAAACAACCAGAGTAACTGTCATGACAGTCACAACCTTATCATTAACTACCTCATTATTCTGCTATCAAACCCAGAGAACATGTACCTTGGCGATGCGTATACCATTGATCCACTGGTGCAGGGTCCTCACATCATCACAACAAAGATACTTGATGTACTGAGATTTCTTCTGGATCTGTGGGTGCTGGAAGATTAAAGGCAAAGTCCAGTGAAGTCTGCTGGAGAACTAAAGAAAAATAAACTCTACCAAAGTTTCAATATATCCTGACAAATTACAGGGCATCAGAGTAATGACCTAGTAATTTATATCTCTCATATGGCCATAGGCCAAATAAAATGGCCCATAAATATATTTACAAAATAAATGAGAAAAACATGCTGAATTTTAGTCAAGATATCCAAATTAAAAAAATACCTTCACATATGGAAAATTCCCAAATACCCCTTCTACATTTCGAAAAAACAATGTCCATGAACAAAGTCATCAGAATTCTTTATCTGTAAGACTATGAAACAAGAAAATAATGTTCGATTTTACTTTGGACCCACAAAAAAGCACTCAGAAGACTCCAAACTGGAGTCTTGGGGAAAGCTTCCAGTGCTCTTCTGGAGGTGAACAACTGGGGGGGGTGGGCACAGCCCCTGGGGCATGAGGGGTACTCCCACCACTGCAGGGCGCTCTCTGTGGACCAAGCCCTGCTCCACAGGCCCCTGCACCCCCACGCAGCACAGCCCTTCCAGGGAATGAGCAGCTTATCAACAGCCTCACCTAATTTAGTTTTCACGACCCAATGTGCTTAGTTGAGAGCTGGATGGGAGATGACTGACTTGACCTTGAGTACCAAAGTGGAAGTGTATTCCACTTCCACAGACTCAAGGTATTTTTTTAATCCTCACCTGAGGATTTGTTTACTGATTTTAGAAAGAGAGGAAGGGAGGGAGGGAGGCAGGGGAGAGGGGAAGAGACAGAAACATCAATCCATTGCCTCCCCTACACACCCCCATCAGGGATTGACCCTGCAACCTCGGGAGGTGCCCTGACCAGAAATCAAAACTGCAACCTCTCCGACCAACTGAAAGACCCAGCCAGGGCTATAGACTCAAGACATTTTAACTCTACTGGGCCATCGCCACTCGTTCCCTGGGAAGAAAAACTCTAACTCACAGTTGTTTTGGGGTGTAATGATTGTTAATTACTACTTCTCTTTTTAGTTATTCTAAAAATACATTTTTTAATGGCTATACTTTACCTGAAGTATTTAAATTTATATCCAATCTTGTAAGAGGCTTAAAACTTTTTTAACCATATTCATTTGTTGTGGAAACCCATGAAATCAATAAACAATATGAATACATTCTCGATGTAGCAGGAATAGGTGGCCACCATTATAAATTATGTAAATTAAAGATCGATCTCACTGCGTTACAATGAGAGAAATGTAAATTCATTTACTTACCCTACTCTATATATTGCTTTACAGAGCTCAGCTCCTATGATAAAACATTTAATACAAAACCAATTTTGGTGTTGAGAGCTACAATCAGTTTTAACCACAACTCCACAATAAGAGGTTAGCAAAATAATACCAAATGATTTTTTCTCCTGATAATATAGGCTCCACAGCCTTCTCTTGGAATATATGCCCTTGTCCTCATTAAACCACACAATAAACCACCATGGCAATCCTGAAAGAGCAAAGGAGGACAGACAGAGGAGTATGTATTGTTCTGTAAGAGAGAGAGGGATTTTACTGCATTCATTCATGACAAATTATTGTTGAGTAAGAACTATTTGCCAGCTGCTTCAAGCAGCTCTTGTGATACCACGTTAACAAAACAGAAGGGGCCACACCCGGGCTGAGCAGAAGATCGAATGGGCTGACTGAAGAAGAGCGCTCTTCAGCATCGCCAGTTAGGGCAGAAGAGCTCTTCTCCACCTCCTGCTTCTTGAAACACTGCCCACTGGATGCGGTTCAGACACATGAACAAGGGGCTACAGGATGGCTCTCAGCTCTTATCACCACACCTTCCTTTACAGTGATTTATAAACTATTTCTGGCTGATTTCTTATATTTTAAGGGTTACCAGAATACGTGTTCAACTGTAGCAGTGACCCTGCCTGAGAAAGAGAGAGAGAGAGAGAGACACCTCTACACAAGGGAGTATTTTTTCAGTCAATACAGCATCAAAGAAAATCAAAGAGAAATTAACTTTTAACCTTCTCTTATCTCTCTCTAACCTGAGATTCCAAACACCACCCCAAAGAGTACTATGATACCACTATTTGAGTATTTGCAGATTACCTGCTAGTTTAAATTTTTCATTTTAGGACCCCCAAGATTCTTTTTTCAACCTCCCACATAATAAAAACATTCATTTTATAGCCTTCATTATGGTCATTTAGGCTCTGTGCCAACACCTCAGGAGAATGCCTGTTCTGCTGATATCCTGTTATTTTATTAAAATTGGCATTTTTTGAGCACTTAGTATGTTCACATGTATTAGCTCATGCCATCAAATCCTATGAGCTACATATTACTACTCCCACGATCTGAGAAGAAATGGAAGCACAGAGAAGTTCATACTGTTTTTGAAGTTACTGGTCAACAAGTGATAGAACCAGGACTTGACATAATGTGATCTCATTTCAGGGCCCATGCTGTCAAATACTGTGTCATATTATTGCCTTGTAAGTGTAAAATCGTCTTTCAAATTTACTGCCTCTCTTCTCTGTTAGCCAAATATTATTCCACCACTTTTAAAATCACACACGAAGCAGGACTTCTGGCCAAGATGGAGGTGTAGGTAGACACACTGCCTCCTCACACAACCAAAAGAAGGACAACAATTTAAAAACAAAAAACAACCAGAACTGACATGGAACAACCGGAACTGTATGGAAGCCCGACAGCCAAGGAGTTAAAGAAGAAACATCCATCCAGACCGGTAGGAGGGGCAGAGACTGGCAGCCAGGTGGAGAGGACATGTGGCAGCTGGTGGACCTGTGAGGCAGTGGCTGGTGGAACAGGTCCCACATTTGCACGTGGACAAACCAGGGGGAACAACTGGGGAGTGAGACAGACCACACAACCCAGGGTTCCAGTGCAGGGAAATAAAGCCTCAAAACCTGATTGAAAATACCTGTGGGGGTTGGGGCGGCAGTGGGACAAACTCCCAGCCTCACATGTGAGTTTGTTGGAGAGACCCACAGGGTCCTAGAACATACACAAACCCACCCACCCGGGATTTAGCACCAGAAGGGTTCACTTTGCTCGTGGGTAGCAGGGGAAGTGACTGAAATCTGGCAGAGAATTGAACAAGTGCCATTGTTCCCTCTCAGACCCCTTCCCCACATACAGCACAACAATGCAGTGACGAGGATCACCCTGCCACGGTGAATACCTAAGGCTCCACACCTGGCATGCCACAGGGGTGACAGGCATTCCAGGACAAAAATAAAGCCCCCCCCCCAAAAAAAAAACCAGATCAAAGCTCCAGAAAAAATACAATTAAGCGATGAAGAGATAGTCAACCTATCAGATGCACAGTTCAAAACACTGGTAATCAGGATGCTCACAGAATTGGTTGAGTATGGTCACATATTAGATGAAAAAATGAAGGCTATGCCAAGATAAATAAAGGGAAATGTACAGGAACCAACAGTGATGGGAAGGAAACTGAGACTCAAATCAATGGTGTGGACCAGAAGGAAGAAAGAAACATCCAGCCAGAAAAGAATCAAGAAACAAGAATTCAAAAAATTGAGGAGAGGCTTAGGAACCTCCAGGACATCTTTAAATGTTCCAACATTCGAATTATACGGGAACCAGAAGGAGAAAAAAAGAGCCACAAATTGAAAATGTATTTGAATAATGAAGGAGAACTCCCCCAATCTGGCAAAGGAAATAGACTTTCAGGAAATCCAGGAAGCTCAGAGAGCCCCAAAGAAGCTAGATCCAAAGAAGCACACACCAAGGCACATCATAATTACATTACCCAAGATTGAAAATAAGGAGAATCTTAGAAGCAGCAAGAGAAAAGGAGACAGTTACCTACGAAGGAGTTCCCATCAGATTGTCAGGTGATTTCTCAAGAGACCTTGCTGCCAAGAAGGGGCTGGAAAGAAGTATTCCAAGTCATGAAAGGCAAGGAACTACATCCAAGATTACTCTATCCAGCAAAGCTTTCATTTAGAATGGAAGGGCAGATAAAGCGCTTCTCAGATAAGGTCAAGTTCAAGGAGTTCATCATCACCAAGCCCTTATTATATGAAATGTTAAAGGGACTTATGTAAGAAAATGAAGATAAAAAATATGAATAGTAAAATGACAGCAAACTCACAATCATTAACAACCACACCTAAAACAAAAACAAAAGCAAACTAAGCAAACAACTAGAACAGGAACAGAACCACAGAGGTTGAGATCACATGGAGGGTTAGGAACAGGGGGGTGGGAGGGGTAGGGGGGGAAGGCACAAAGAATAAGCAGAATAAATGGTAGGTAGGAAATAGGGGGAGAGTAAGAATAATATAAGAAATGTAGAAGCTGAGGAACTTTTATGTATAACCCATGGACATGAACTAAAGGGGGGGGATGTGGGTGGGAGGGGGTGTGTGGGGCAGAGGGGAGTGAAGGGGGGAAATGGGACAACTGTAATAGCATAATCAATAAACTATATTAAAAAATAAATAAAATCACACATGAGATAAAAACAAGTATAGAGGAGATGTTCTTGCTAAAATTAGAAGCTTTGCATTAAATTCTTAAACACTCCAAAGAGAATATATAATGGAACTGCCCTCCAAAACAAATGAAGAGCTATACAGAAAGGCTATTATTTCATTCCTAAAATGATTTAGTTGATTTGGAAAGTTTGTATTGTTTAATAATAAAGGCAAAAGTTTTGAGAATAAAAGCATTTAAGAATATGAAATTCTTGATTACTATTTTTAAGTATATTTTATTGATAATGCTATTGCAAGGGGAGGAAAGTTTTCTAAATTTTCCTCCCCTTTATCCCCCTCCATCCTGCATCCTCCCACCCTCCAGCCTTCCTCCCAAGGCCTTAAAGGTTCATGTCCATGGGTTGTACTTGTAAGTTCTTTGGCTTCTCTATTTCCTATACTATTTTTAACCTTCCCCTTGTCTATTTTGTGCCTACCAATTATGCTTCTTATTCCCTGTACCTTTTCTGCCCATTCTTACCCTCCCCACTGATATCCCTCCATGTGATCTCCATTCCTGCGATTCTGTTCCTGTTCTAGTTATTTACTTAGTTTTTCTGGTTTTGTTTTTAGGTTCAGTTGTTAGTAGTTGTGAGTTTGTTGTCATTTTTACTGTTCACAGCTTTGATCTTCTTTTTCTTAGATAAGTTCCTTTAACATTTCATATAATAAGGGCTTGGTAATTGTGAACTCCTTGAACTTGACCTTATCTGGGAAACACTTTTTCTGCCCCCCCCCCCCCATTCTAAATGATACCTTTGCTGGATAGAGTAATCTTGGGTGCAGGTCCTTGTCTTACATGACTGAGAATGTCTTTGCAGCCCTTCTTGCCTGTAAGGTTTCTTTTGAGAAATCAGCTGACAGTCCTTTGTAAGTAACTCTCCTTTTCTCTTACTGCTTTTAAGATTCTCTCCTTATATTTAATCTTGGGTAACTTAATTATGATGTGTCTTGGTGTGTTTCTTCTTGGATCCAACTTTGGGACTGTCTGGGCTTCCTGGACTTGCACGTCTAGTTCCTTCGCCAGACTGGGGAAGTTTTCCTCCATCATATTTTCAAAGAAGTTTTCAATTTCCTGGTCTTCCTCTTCTCCTACTGGCACCCTATGATTTGGATGTTGGAATGTTTAAAGTTGTGCCAGACAACTTGCCCTAAGCCTCTCCTAATTTTTTCTGACTTGTTTCTTTGTTCTATTCCAGTTGGATGTTTACTTCTTCCTTTTGATCAAAATCTTGATTTGAGTCCCAGTTTCCTTCCCTTCACTATTGGTTCTCTGTATATTTCCCTTTATTTTACTTTGTATAGTCTTCATTTCTTCCTCCATTTTGTGACTGAACTCAATTGTTTCTGTGACCATCCTGATTTAACAGTGTTTTGAACTCTGCATCTGATAGGTTGGCTATCTCCTTGTCACGTAGTTCTTTTTCTGGAGTTTTGATCTGTTCTTTCATTTGAGCCATATTTCTTTGTCTTGGTGCACTTGTTATGTTACAAGGACCAGAGCCTTAGGTACTCCTCAGAGAGGGGCAACCCATTTTGCTGGGTTGTGGTGCTGTCTGTGGGGGAGGGGTCAGAGAGGGAACAATGCCACTTGCTAGCTTCTCAGCCCTCTCCCCACTTTCCATCACTTCCCACAAGTGGATTATGCCCTTTCAGGTGCTGATCCCAGGTGGTGGCTTGTATACATTCTAGGATGCTGTGAGAGTCTCCAACAGACTCTCCTGTGAGACTGGGAGCTTCTCCCACTGCCACAATCTTCAGAGACTTTTACAGGCGCAGGTTTTGAGGCTTTATTTCCCTGTGCTGGAACCCTGGGTTGTACAGTCTGTCTTGCTCCGCAGTTGTTCCTCCCCGTTTATCCACTAGCTGCCACCTTGCCTTGCATCCTCTCCGTCCCAGCTGCCCGTCTCTGCCGCTCCTACCAGTCTGGATGAAAGTCTCTTCTTTAACTCCTTGGTTGTTGGACTTCCATGGAGTTTAATTTTCTGGCAATTCTGGTTGTTTTAAAATTGGTTGTTGTCCTTTTGGCTGTACAAGTAAATGAAGTGTTTCTGCCTATGTCTTCATCTTGGCCAGATCACGAAATTCTGGATTACTATTGTGCTATTAGGTGATTTTTCTCTGTTTATGTCAAAAATTAGATGAGACTGATACTTTCTAAAACTTTATAACTAAAAGTGATGCTCTAAAATCACAGTCCAAGTGCTAATGAAAAACCACAACATGTATACTAACATTTATTACTTTGCAAACATATAAAGGCTTTAAAATTAGTTCCCTCAAGTAATTTGCAAGAAGTTAAAAAATAAAAATATGTAACACTGCACCCACTCAAAAACTTTTGATCTTTCTAAACCTCAAAAAAAGACCCTTAGAAGAAATATATTCTTAACCTAGGAATTTTATGTATGCTGCAAAAGGGATTAACACAATACTGCAAGAAATAACAAGTGTTGGCGATGATGTGGAAAAAAGGAATCCTTATATATTGTTGGTTGGATTGTATATTGGTGTAGCCATTATGGAAAACAGTATGGAGGTTCCTCAAAAATTTAAGGATAGAACTATCATGTGATCCAGCAATCCCTCTGGTGGGTATTTCTAGAAGAGCATGAAAACACTAATTTTAAAAGATGTATGCACCCCTATGTTCGCTGTAGCACTTTTTTACAGTAGCCGAGATATGGAACAACCTAAGTGTTCATCGACAGATAAGTGGATTTTCTAGGTCCCCACGTGATGCCTGGAACTGCAGTGGCCGTCTGTGACATGCACCGGATGGAATAGGGAACAATGGAAAGAATTTGGGTTCTCTGACAATCTTGAGCCATTACAATAAACAACTCTTATTGTCCTCATGTTATGAGATCCCCAAATAGCTTACATTTATAGGGGCTCTGTTTACTGATATTTACCTTATAAGAAATTAAAACTTAGAAAAAATTAAAAGATAAGAATATGCAAATATACATTCCACTACCCAAGAGAGCAAAGATATCATCACATGTCATGTAACCTCTTTGAAAACTCCATTATACATTTGTGAGAGAATGAGAGTCTAAAAGGCAAATCTTAGCATCATCTAAAGAGTGATTTTGACATCATGGACCCCTTTATAGGTTCCCAGGGACTCCCCAAGGATGTTGGGTCTCATTTTGAAACTACTGAATTAAGCTAATTTCTACTGACTTTAAAAAAATTATTTGTTGCTGTAATTTAAATGATGTGATGGTATTCTCTAAGAAAGGATTACCTTTCTTAGAGAAGGGGTTATCATTATAATACACCTAATAAGGGGTTATCATTATAATACACCTAATTTTATCAAAGCAGTAAAAATTCTATCCCCAAGCCCTAAAACACTGCTGCCCCAAACCCAACTGCTAATTCCCAGGAAAGCAGAAGCAAACAATGACATGAACAAGGAGCCTAAATAGATACCATGGGGTTACTATGACGGAGCCAATGAGAAAGACATAACCATCTCTGTAATTATCCTGGATTTTTAAAAGTTGGATTTAAAAAACAAAAGATTTTATTTATTTATTTTGAGAGAGAAGGGAAGGGATGGAGAAAGGAAGAGAAACACAATGCGTGATTGGTTAACTCTTGCACACCCCAATAGGGGACCTGGCCCGCAACCCAGGCCTGTGCCCTGACCAGGAATCAAACCAGTGACCTTTCAGTCTGCAGGCCAGTGCTCAATCCACTGAGCTGCACCAGCTAGGGCTAAAAGTTGTTTTTATCAGTGTCCCAAAAGATCACTAAAAGTTCATTAAAAATGTCAGTTCTCAAAGTACAGGTATAACTGCTTTGAGCGCACATATTTGGATTAAGAAGGAAAAAAAAAATCCCTAAAATCAGTTCAGACATGCACGAGTTATCAGGGTAGTATTTGGGGGTTGGGAGACAAAAACTATTACTGGACCAGATGAGAACCAGTCCACTCTGACCTTGGGCACAGTACCCTCTGATGGTTCTGAGTGAGAGTACAGGAGAAAAACTAAAGCACACAAAATTCCTGTGTCTCACATTTGGCTCTGATCTAAGATTTCCTAAATTAAGCCTGTTATTCAATGAAAGTCTCAATTTTATAATCCAATCTATTTTATATGTTATGGCTTGAAGCTTACAACCTAGCATTCATTTCTTAGCAACATCAATCTAATAAAGGCTACTTAGGTAAGGGCCAGCCAGCTGTGGTATATAGCACACAATTCTTTTCATTATCCTTCACCATTCCTTTAAAAATCTATAGGAAAAAAAGCAAGAACAATATACTCACTGAAGATCCAAACTACTCTAAAATGTGTCCAATAACCTGCTCTATGTCTAACATCGTATTAAAATTACTAAAAAGAGATACATGTTTACCTTTAGCACCAGACAGTAGTCTGTGGGGGCTTTGTATTTGTTCCGATAGTCCTGTCCGTAATAAACATTCACATGATCCAGCTGGAGAAAGCAGACCAGCTCCCGAGAGACCTAAGATAAAAAACACCCAGATGGGAGATTTAACAATAATGTGTAAGCAAGCAAATATCATAACTAGTAACAGTTTCTAGTAGAAAAATCAAAACTTTACCAAGTAGAAATTACTGCTCTTTTGCAGAAGATAGTGAGATTTCCTAGAAATGTTTCTTTTTTAATCCATAACGCAACAAAAAAGGCCATCTTGCCGTTTATAATGAACACTGACTTGCTTGGGAAAAAAGTGGCATTTTAAAGAAACTTTAAGTACGGGGGGACCCCAAAAGAGAACAGAATTTATTTATTAAAAAATTGTATTTATTGTTACATCTTTAAACTTCAGTCACTTTCACAAGTACTCTCCATTTGATGTAATACACCTATTGAGACGTTTTCCCACTGCTTAAAAAAGCTTTTGAACTTGTCAATTTTGATGCATTTCAGTGCTTCTGCCATTTTTTTGTTTCCCCTTGTCCATGATGGTAAAACGTTTTTGTTTGAGGACTTTTTCATCCAGGGAAACAAAAAAAAAAAAGTCACTTCAGGTGAGACTACATGAATCGGGAGGGTGGGGCACACTTGGTGCAGTGTGGGATGTGTGCTTGTACATCACCCATCAAGAAATGGGCAAACTCACTGAAAGTCCCTTCTAAAAAAAATCATCGAAGCCAAATGCAGCCCCTCACAACAATATCAGCTGGTACACTGATACAGATGTGTTCCTAGATCACCTGGTGGGAGAAGCCTGTACTACAAGGGCCCGCCCCCCCAAAGATAATTCCAGTTCTGGGGGGTGCCCCCTCATATGGTATAACAGGGGTCCCAAACTCCAGGCCATGGACCAACACCAGTCCATGCCTGTTAGGAACTATGCTGCACAACAGGAGGTGAGGTTGAACGTAATGCCATAGAATCCATCCTGAAACCCTCCCCCCAAACCCTCCATTCCTAGAAACACTGTTTTCCACAAAACCAGTCCCTGGTGCCAAAAAGGTTAGGGACCGCTGGATAGTATATTATATACAATACAGTATAATAGAGCTCTTTGGAAAGAGCAAGAAAAGAACGTAGTTCAGTGTCTGTACACCCATATACCGAGTACAGCATTTCTCAAGTCAGGGTTTCCTCACCAGTTAAATAGGGTCAACCTCTCAGGATGGCAATACAGGTTGGAAGAAGTGATACTGTAAGGAGTTTAAACAGTGCTGGCCCTCAGTGAGCACAGAAGTAACAGGTACCAAGGGGACCCTCGGAAGAAGCATATTCCCCAAGCAAGGCTGAAACAGCTATAATCCCACACAGCTATTCTCCCCAAACAACAACAAGCAAAAAACCACTCTCCTAGAAGTTCCAAAAAATAATAAGTAAAAGTATGGTTCAAATTTGGCAAGTGGATCAAGATGGGCCAAATGACTGACCACAGAGAGAACGTTTTCAGGTTTCTTCTTCTTTATAACATATCAGAAAAGCAAAGCAATGTTTTATGTGTCCTACAGTATTTGAAACAAATCAAAGTCTAGATTCGCCTTGTCAACACACTCACTACAAATTAAAATCAACTAGCATAATGAAGAAACTCAAAAGCCAGAAGAAGGGGGACACACCTTTGCTTTTCCTTTAGGGACATAGTAAATACCAGACGCTCGTAAGAGAAAATAACGTTTTTTCCAGGACTTCTTGCCATCATCTTTCAACCAAAGGACTCCTTCAATTTCTGGTACAGTTACAGAACTTCCACAAAAACATTCCTAAAATATGAAAATAAGTTAGAAAGGCTTATATGATCCTTGGATTCTCATAACAAAGTTGTGTTTACACCTGTGAAATGCATGACAATGTAATTAAACCAAAATAACTTTGTAATAAAACCGCAATGCTAATTTTACCTCAGTTAGAATTTTCTATTCTAAACATAATATGGATTTATTGTGGAACTACTATGGCAATCCCTATGAACTTTTACCTAAAAATTCTTTTTAAAGATTTTATTTATTTATCTTTAGAGGGGAAGGGAAGGAGAGAGGGAGAGAAATATCAATGCATGGTTGTCTCTTGCGCATCCCCTGCTGGGAACTGGCCTGCAACCCAGGCATGTGCCCTGACTGGGAATTGAACTGCAATCCTCTGGTTCACAGGCCCTCGCTCAATCCACTGAGCTACACCAGCCAGGGCCTAAAAACTTTTTTGAAGAAACTGAGATGAAATGTTAACTGAGTTGAATACAATAGCATTTAAATGAATTTGTAAACGACATACTTGTAATAAATTTAATAAAAGTGTCAGAGCTAACATAAGCACTGAACTTTGTTTTTCATTAAATTATTAACACATTCAAATTAGCTGTCAAGCTAAGTAGGAATATACTTTAAAAGAAAGCAACATGCTAAGTTAATGATTAAATTTTCAGAATTTAAAAACTCTGTCAATTTATGTCACTCTAAAACAAAAAGGGCATTTAGTTTAAAAATATTTAATACTCAACGAGCCCTGGCTGGTGTGGCTCAGTTGACTGAGTGCCAGCCTGCAAACCAGAGTTGCCAGTTCTAATCCAGGTCAGAGCATATGCCTGGGTTGCAGACTGGGTCCCTCAGTAGGGGGCAGAGAGAGGCAACCACACATTGATATTTCTCTCCCTGTCTTTCTCCCTCTTTTCCTTCCTCTCTAAAAATAAATAAATAAAATATTTTTAAAAATATTAAATTAAAATAAATGTAAACAAACTCAAAATTTTGAATTCTGCTTATACTTAGAAACAATTTTAATTTTAAAATAAAAAGCAATCATGTATTTGGTAAAAGATTTTTAGAAATGTCCACTAAACATTAATATAACATATTTTGAGCCTAAATTAATTTCTCTCCCCAAAGTACTCGGAGGAAAGTAATTCGTAATTGAAAAATTACGAATTATAGAGGATTTTTCTTAATTATAGTGTGCATATGAAAAGCTGAGTGATGATCTTCGTTTTCCTAATTGCCTTGTTGCTAAGAAAGAAATTTATTCAGATTTTCAAACATTCCCTTGTATCAGCAAAAGCTAAAAAGCCAAAAATTTAATTATATTTGAATTTGTGTTATTGCTTTTCAAAATGAGAAAATGTATGTATTTTTAGAAATGATTGTTTTAAAAAATTCAGTAATATAAGACTAAGGCTTGAAATATTTTGTAAACAGCTAATTACATTTACAGCACCATAAAACAGCACCATCACGTGCTTCACTGATCAACCTTTTCTCTCACTCGCCGGCCCGACAGCTCCTGCTCCTTTTAGTACACCCGTACACTGCATGGCAAAATAAGAGTCTTTAAAAGCTTCTTCAGTGGCCCAACATTCATACAGTTGAACCCTGTCCACGAGGCTATAGAAGAATATAGTGTTCTCTAGCTACAACTGCAAAAATAAATATACTGCACTGACATATTTCAAAAAAAGTGTGCTTAATATTTTAATATGGTAAAGTGCAAAGAAAAAGAATGATGGGGGAGTGGAGAATTGTACCTCCAACAGCACTTCTTTATTTCTGTCAGCCATCTCAGCGGTTTCCTTTTTCCCCAGAAGATAGTTCTGGAAGAATGAATAAATGAAGGTTAAAGGATACATGCATTCTATTATTCTCTTGGCACAAGTGCATATGTGATTTCTTCTAGAGACATAGTAACTGTGCGTCAACTTCCACCTGTGCAGAATGAGAAGGAACACTCTTTGAAAAGCAACCTGTGTGTGGACATCACCACTGAATGGTTAGCATTGGCCTCCTCCTCACCTCTATCTACGTACCTTGAACTACTCTATAAACTCCTCTGCCTCAAACCCTGAGGTGACAGTACGTGCAACAGCTGGTAAATGTGTTTCCATGTGTCTAATGAAAGCTACTTGTATAAGACCTGACAGGTTCACAAATTATTAAGTATAACAAAGGTGGCAAATTTCCTTAAAATATGCTGAGCTTAACTGATCCAAATGCAGAAAATTTAGTCTATGTTCTTGGCTTTTACAGAAGAAAACCAAAATTCTCTGAGGCTATCATAATCTCATTTGGGTCACTCAACTAAACTATAAAGCCTTATGATAAGCCTTATGAAAAATTTTCACAATCATCCATAATAAAGATCTGTTGGTATTCCCAGATGTGTAATCTCCATTAAAATATCCAGTGGGGATGTCACATGGTTACATATCCACCTGAAAGATAACTACTGTGTACCTTTAACACTGCTACTATTTTTCCTCATTACTACTTTTTATAATGGGGGTTGTTCTCTCACCTTTTTATAAAATATGTGGGCAATAGAAGTATTAACTCAAATGTTATCCTAGAATAAACAAAGATGCCAAATAAATCGAGGTAACATATACCAGAATGTGGAACTATTTATCATCAAGGTTGCCGTGACCAAAAAAAATAAGAAATCAAAGAAAGTGTAACCTGGATAAATGGCTTAAGTAGAAAAACTTAAATATGTAATATGTAAGTACTTTTCTTTGATGGATGAGAAACAAACCAAACGAACAGCTACTGAACACAGATCTGGATCAGAGAGAGCAGAAACCTGGTAACTCTCCGGAGTTACTTCCATTTCTCCAACCCTATCTGGCTCTTTGGGTTGGTAACTTCTCTGAGCCTTGACACCTGGGCCCAGAAGTCCTTCCTCCTCAGCAGTAGTGAGTACTCCCATGGGGGTTTACAACCACAGTGTTCCAATCAGGTGGATTCCAGTCTTTTAACTCTATTAACTTAGCAGTAATAGAGTAATACAAGAATAGTACTAAGAAGTAATACAACAATAGGAGGTTAAGAACCCTAACCTCGTCCTGGCTGGGTGGCTCAGTTGGTTGGAGCATTGTCCTGTAGACCAAAGGGTTGCAGGTTCAATCCCAGGTCAGGGCATAATAACTAGGTTGTGGGTTTGATCCCCAGTTGGGGCACATATGGGAGGCAACCGATCAATGTTTCTCAATTATGTTGATGTTTCTCTTTCTCTCTTCCTCTCTCTCTAAGATCAATAAACATACCCTCAGGTGAGGATTAAAAAAATAATCCCAACCTCTACAAGTTACTGAGTCTTACCTGTGGGTTTTTGAAAAGTGCATATTTTTCTATACGCTCCATAAATATAAGCTTGTTTTGACTATCTCTTGTCCAATTAAGAAGATTTTCAACCAAGTTTTCATGGTCTTCAAAGATTCTCTCTGTCCCAAAATAAAATATCAATATTTTGTTAGTATTTACCAGAACTGCATCAAAGATATGAATCCTTGGAAAGTGATTCACAGCAGAAATATAGAATCTTTACTGACACCACAACCTTGGGCCCTTAGAAGTCCTTGGTTTTCCATCTATTTTCAAAGAAGGGAACATGTCCTAACAGTGGTAAATGACTTCAGCAAGGTCACACAGCTGCTACGCAGAATGAGGACTAGAGCTAGGTCTTCTAACTTCTAGGTTTCCTTCAGCTTTCAGCCTTTTCCCATTCCATTGTTTAAAAAAAAAGTTGATTGCATTTTCATAAATTCTGATGTTAAGCATTTCCGATAGTGTTCAGTTCTTATTAATTTTTAAAACTTTCAAGATTACATTTTTGATCCATGGGTTTTGTTTAATTTTAAACATAGACATATTTTCTAATTTGGAAATAGGAGTCAAAGTACAAGTCCTTTAGACTGAACATATATTCAAAGAACATATTCTAGACAATTCTTTGAAATTTCTTGAGAGTTGTTTATGGCCTCATACTTAATTTTTGGAATATTCCATTTCTGTTTGAACAGAATATGTATTTTTCTGTTATTGATCTAAACATTGGTAGATAAAAAAATTACTTTTCAAATCTCCTATATCTTTTTCTGTCTGCTTGATTATCCTTATCACTGAAAAGGTTCTACTACGAAGGCTGACTTGTGAATTTCTCCTGCTAGTCATCAATTTTTGCTTTATACATTTTAGTACTATTAGCTAAAACTTAGAAGATGGTCTCTTTTTGGTGAATATGTGTGTTTTCTTCATCTCTAGTAATGCATTTTGCTTGAAGTCTATTTTATCTGATATTAATATAGTTAATTATCTTTCTTTTGGTTAGTGTCTTTTCACATTCCTTTTATTTTCAACCTTTATGTGTCTTTAGGTAATAGGTCTTGTCTGAACAGCAAACAACTGCATTTTGTTTACTCATCCTTTCTAATAATCTCTGTTGTTTAATTGGGTAGTTTACATGTATAATGTGTTTACACCATCTTATTTCGGGCTCTTTAGTAGTCCCTTGTTTTCTTTTATTTCATTCAACAAATTCTGAATAACCACATACTATAATTTTTTTATTTTTCAATTTAGTTTACATTTATTATTATTATTATTTATTAGTTTCAGGTACACAGCATAGTGGATCCACAACCAAATACTTTACAGTGTGGTCCCCCTGATAATTTAAGTACTCGCCTGGCTCTGTACAGACCTGTTACAATGTTAATTGACTATATCCCCTATGCTGTACTTCACATCCCCGTGACTACATATTTTGTGACTACTAATTTATAGTTCTTAATCCCTTTACCCTGTATACCCCTCGTCTCTAGCAACCAATCAGATTTATCTCTGTGTCTATGAGTTGACCGCATGCTGTACTTGAAGTACTGTGGCACATATGATTAAATAAGACACCATGGTCAATTATATAAAAGGTAATACAGAAATATAAGTTTTCAAGCTCTGGCCATGGAAATACACACATTTTCAGTGTATCATGATACTACTACCTTTGTGAACTAAACAAATTTTCTAGTTTATTAAGAACAAATATGAATATTGAGAATATATTTTTATACATGTTAATGAAGTTCTAATAACTTCTGATTTCGTTTTGGGAGTTGTGTACATATGTTCTGAGAGAATGGGTTAATAATTCAATTTTTATTTCTCTGGAAATTGCTTTGAATATTTAAAAATAATAAGTAATGAGAAATACAAATAAATATTTTAAATAAAACAGCAAGTTAAAATTAATAATGGATTCAATAAAGTGTAATAAAATAATTATTGCTAGGTTTCTGTAATCATAAAACACATTTTAAAAGTTACTGATGATATAAAAAATTAGAATGTTTATAATTAGAAAACACCTTAACGAACACCATATCTTAAGAAACTAAGACTTAGTACACCTAGCCAAAAATAAGAAATTTGTGCTTTTTGTTTCCCATGAGAGTCAAATGCTGGTATAAAGACTTCAATAAAAATGGGAATAATAAACTGGGCTTTAGTAAGTGTGCTAATCTATGTAGTTCTTATTTGAAGGGAAATACTATTTTGTTACCTTAAAAAAAAGTTTGTTATAGTGAGATTTTACTAAAGACAAAAAAGAAAAGAAAAAAAAAACGAGTTTTACTCATATATCAGTGTGTTTCCTTGAGTTACATGTTATTTTTTTTGTTGATTTAAATATTGATGCAATATTCCATAAACTTTTAAATCATAGCTTCCTTAGTAATCCCTAAATGTTTTCCTGTTTGGTAAAAAAGTTCATGGACTTGGATGTAATACAAAAATCTTTTATCTTACTCCTTTTTTTCCCTGTGTTTGAAATATTTGTCTCTATTAAAAATGTCAAACATTTTATGTAAAAAAAAAAAAATCTGGAGTGAACTAGAAATCTCATATTCCAAAGAATCTCAAAATACTTGAAAAAAAGATAATGTAAAAAGCCACAGTTATATTATTATAGGGAATATATATATATATGTGTGTGTGTCTCAAGGTGCTTTGGTCAACACAAAAACTGCTGGAATTACATAGAAATTAAAAAGTAACTGAAGCAATGGGATTACTAACCCATCTGTAACTCAGAGATGGTTTCCACCAGTGACCAGTCTGAACTGTAACCGCAGTGGGATTTGTCCATCAGGTTGTCCAGCACTTGTCTCACTGTCTGCCTCTCATCCACCATCATTGTTTTAGAGCTATCATCAGACATGTGGACTCTAATCACCAGCTACAACAGGCAAAAAGAAAATTAAACACAAATAAAAAATGAGACATTTTAGAAAATCCTCTAAATATTGGGCAATGTTGTCAGTAATATTCTTAGTTAAATATAAATTAAACAACTTTATTATGTAAAAATACTTTTAAAATTAGGTATCAAATAACATACCTTAACGAATTTAAAGCCTTCTTAAAATTATAATACCAGGTAAGATTATAATACCAGTATTTTGTTGTACTCTGTTAGAATCATGTAAAACCAGAAAGTTAGTTCTTTTAAATGCATTTTATTCATAAAAAATACATGTGAAAATATATTAGGAAGAAATAACCTTCTACCTCTCCATATCTTAGATACATTATATACACAAGGCCAATTCTTTATAAATCCGTAAAACTGATAAAACTCCCAGACCAGAAAAAAGCCCAAATATTACCTTTTTCACTTGTGCCTCTTTAATTTTCTCCAGGGCAATTCTGATCTTCTCAGCTTTCAATTTTGCAGCTTGTTCTTCCTGTGAACAAAAGCACTTCAGATAAACTAGTGCTAAAATCATGGGAATATTTCAGAAGTCTTTTTATTCTCAAGGATATTGCTACTAGCATTGAGTTTCAGGAAGGATATGACTGCACGCATTTATATAGAGCATATTTAAAAAGTAACCCTGTTCACAAAGAGCTTGCATATTACAAAAAACACTTTTTTACAGATGCAGACTTAAAGATCTCTTTATAAGACCAGATTCCATATTCTAGAGAAAAAGAAGTTGGCGATTTAGTAAATTACGAGTTTGATTTTGTCAATCTGAAGCATATGGATTTCAGGTTCTAGGGTTCGGGAAACACTGAGTGTGTATGAGCTTATTATGGGCCTGCCAATTTATTATACCTGTACGATCCCTAACTCTGAATTTATACCCCCTTTCCAAAGCATGGGCAATCTTTTGCGTACTAATAATGTTTTGTTATGGTACACTGAAAATGTATCATCATCATAAAAATAGTAAAAACAAAACCAAACAAACAACCCCAGCACTGATTTGTTTACAACCACATAAAACTCCTCAATAAAAAATACAGGTACAACTTCATTAACATACCAATACAAACAGAGGAAGCTGTGTTATAATCTAGGTTTCTACTCTGCTTTGGAAAACAACACAATGTAATTAATGTCTCATGTCAATAAACTCAAATTTATTTCCATTAATTCACTGATAAATTTTTACAAAGTCAAATATAATTTTCCATATATTTAATTTCTAGTAACTTCAATTTTATAAAACTTAGGTAAGTAGTAATAAAATTATCAAGAACTAAAACTATACTTAAACCATTTGCCTATTTTTCCTAAAACATGTAGTACTATGATACCAGTACTTACTTGCACTTTCCAGCAATAGGCCATAGTACACTGCAGCATTAATCTCCAGTTGGAAAAATCATGTAAGTAAACCTTTGCCTATAAAGGATTACTTTCTAACTCTAAACTTTTATTTCTTTGAAAAATAACTAAGAAAATATAAATTGCCATCTTGTAGATTTCTTTAATATAAAACTAAAAAAGAGATGAAGACAAAAGAAAAACCTAATTATATCAGCCACTTAATCTGCTCTGGATTCCGACTAAAAACCACAATTCATTAAAAACCTAATGAATTCAGGGCATATACACCAAAAACTCAATTCATTAATAAAGTTATTCCTTGTTTTCTAAATTTCATTGCCTCTCCTGTTTCTGAACCGCTTCTCTTTCCACTTCGCTTTCTAGACTGTCCCCTTCATTTCAAGCTTAGTATTTACGACTCCGTGGCACAGAGAAGCAAACAGTGGTTAGGGAAGACAGTAAACTTGTTTGTCAGAAATCTGATCCTTTTCAATGAAAGGAGCCAGGGAATTAACATAATAACCAAGGTCTGGAAATACTATCTGTACACCCAATTAGACAGAGAACAAAGAACTTTATTTTAACAATGGAAGGGAGTCAGATAAGACTTGATTTTTAGACTATTACAGATATATTCATTTGATTAAAAAGATCACATCATCCTAGTCCCCCTTTATGCAAGTACACAGTAACAGAATTATAAATATGTTGACTGTGTATTTTAACATAATTATTTTTTATGGCACGTTATAAAGTGAGAAAACTAAATTACTATCAATTAAATCTCAAAATCTGATGAGAAAAAACTGATATATAGAATTAATGCTTTGTGTACTTGGAATATGAACATGAATTTCTAAAAGGCCAAATTCATATTTTATAATTAAAATGGAGAAGTAAACAAAAAACTTTTATGTCCTCAAAGCCATAAAACATTTTCAGGAAAAAAATACATTCAAGGGAATGAGATGACAAGCAAGTCATAAACTAGAAAAAATATTTGCAAAATATTTATCAGACATTTGATAAAAGACTTATTTGAACTATACAAAGAATTCTTAAAACCAACAAGAAAGTGCACAACCCAATTTAAAAACGGGCAATAGACCTTAACAGACAACTCACCAAAGAAGATACACAGATGTCAAATTAAACTATGAAATAAATGCTCAAAGATCATATGCCATTAGGGAATTACAATTTAAAACAATGAGATACTACTGCACATCTATTAGAAAGGCCAGAATCCAAAACACTGAAAACACCAAATGCTGGTGAGGTTGTAGAGCAATTAGAACTTGCATTCATTGCCGGTGGGAAAGGAAAATGGTACAGCCACTTTGGAAGACATTGGTGGTTTCGTATAAAACTAAACATGCTCTTATGATATGACACACCAATCACGCCCCTTAATATCTACCTAAATGAGCTGAAAACTTACCTTCTCCCCAAAACCTGAACATAGATGTTTATGGCAGCCTTATTCATAAAATGCCAAAACATTCATCTGTAGATGAATGGATAAACTGCACTGCATCCAGACAATGAAATACTATTCAGTGCTACTGTAAAAAGAAATGAGCTATCAAGCTATGAAAAGACATGGAGAAAACTTAAAGAACATTACTCAGTGAAAGAAGCCAATCTGAAAAGGCTACATACTGTGATTCCAACTGTATGACATTCTTAAAAAGGCAAAACCATGACTACAGTAAAAAGATTACTGGTTGTCAGGGGTTGCGTGAGGGAGAGATGAACAGGTGAAGCCCGGACAATTTTTGTGGGAGTGAAACTATGCTGTATGATACTGTAATGGTAGATATGTGTCGTTATACATTTGTCCAAACTTATAGAATGTGCAACACCAAGAGTGAACCCTAAATTATGGACTGTGGGTGATTATGATAGCTAATAACATAGCCATCTCTGGGTGATAATACAAGCTAATCGATTGTAATGAACAGACCATTCTGGGGGGATGGTGATAACACAGGCCATGTACCTGTGGGGGTAAGTGGCACATGGGACTTCCCTTCACCTTCCTTTAATTTTACTGTGAACCTAAAACTGCTATAAAATATAAAGTCTATTCAAAAAAGGAGTCGAAGAATTTAAATATTACATCTGATATTGGTTATAAATTTTATTACAACAATTTATTTTCATAACTCTTATTTTAGTATATTACTGAAAACACAATCAATGCTATCTTTGGAAGAACTGCCATAAAAAGTCATTCAATTGGAAGATTAGCTTAAGCCCCCAAATCAGTTTCTGCTCCACAGGCTAACAGGAAAAAAGCTAACAGTGGAAGAAAGGTTTAAAGAAACAAGAAACCCCAATAAACTCAGTTAAAAACAGAAAAAGAAACAGGAGATACATGCAACCAGTAAACATACACTAAACCAATTAGGTTTCCTAGCCATCAATAAGAAACCATTTTTAGGTAAAACAGTGAGGTGGGGGCTATTTAAACATCCAAAGTCAGCAATTCTTCCATTTGCTTAAAATACTACTCTTTATATAAATTGGTCTGTTTAAAACTGTATCAAATTCAAATTCAAGAGCTATATGCTTTATTTCAACCTTGGCAATTTGTAGTTCATTCTTCTCCAGTTTATTAACAAGGATATCCTTGCCAGGAGATTTTTAAAAGAAACGATTGATAAAGATACCTCTGTTAGGGTCTGAGTATCATTGCTAGAGCAAAGTGGAAATAAAAGATTTACATCAAACTGCAAAATTCACACTATTTTATTCTTCTGGTGGAGAATAAAAGCTCTTCCTCAGAAAGTTTGATTTTCACCTACTATATATAAGCCATAATCATATCTTTCAACCATAACAATCTAAGAGAGGAAAAAACAGTTGTAAGCTTATAGAGTATTATCCAATATAGGGAAGATCAATAAATCTTTACTGATACATTTAGTTCGTACACTTAGAAGATATCTCATAGTTTATTTATAAAGGAAACGCAATTCTATGTTTAATGGCTGCAGCCCAAACTTAATACAAAGAACAAAGCTTTATTCATCTCCTGTTCTCTTTTGGTTAAAGCTGACAAACTCAGGTCTTAAATCTTCTGCCCCTTATCTTTTGACTATCCCTTTCTTCATGCTGTTTGTCCCACAACTATCCTAAATATAAGTAAAAGATACCTCACACATATAACAACTTAACTTTCTCTCCTACCCCTTCTCTTAAAAGAGCAAGAGACAACCCATTTTCTACCTGAAAAACTCCTGTGTGGCTATCAATAATCATCAAATGCCAAGCCTCCTCAAATTTACATAAAAGACAAAAACTTGGTGAAGATCTTATGATTAAATGAAAGCCAATGCTGTGGCTACAAAATGTTACAACATTGTCTTCAGTGTAAAAATCAGAATACTTAGAGAAGGAGTTGCAGTTGCTAAGAGATGGCTAGGGAATTCCTTCAACTACAAATTATTAAGGCTTTGTGGGGTCAGAACAAATTCAGTTGAAATTAAGGGGCTAAAGAGTACCTAGTTTCTTTGGGATCTAGTTTATTTCACAGATTACAACAATAAAAAAGTTAGGGAATTAAAAGAATTCAAAGAAAACTTGGAATTATGAGCAATTTAATATCCATGAAATGGTCCATTCAATAAAACTGCTTGGAGCGAAAATAATAATAGGAACAACTAGTTTACTTCCCTTAAAGTAATCATGAAATTGATAGACTCTCACTGAGAAGAGAACTAACATTAACTGAACAACCTAAAACAAGTCACACACTAATTGGCATGCTACACACAGCATCTCATTTAATTTTTAATAATGTAGCTATTATTATTATTATTTCCTTTGTACTGATTAACTAAGGTCCATAAAAACTAATCTTTCTAAGATCATACAGGCTCCAAGTGACTACTTGCTCTTTCCACTACAATGAGACAGTCCCTTTTGTCCTAAGAGCTGTAACATAAATTTTGGGGATAGCAGTTATTTAATAAAAACTGCTTGTCAAACATGAAACACGGATAATGGTGATCAACATTACAGCAGTTCTTAGAACCCTGATAGTCACTAAACAACTGTTCTTTCATTTGACAGATGTCTGTTGAGACTGAGCAGGCTTGGGTGTGAGTGCAGGGGATGCAGAGTCCTAGCTTGTAAGTGTACATTTAATAAGAGAGAAAACAAAACAAAATACACATGTGATAAGTTAGTTATTGATAAGGCCCATGGGGGAAAAATACAATAAAGCAGGGTAAGAGTGACGAATATGCATTACTAGCTAGGAGGTCAGGGAGGCCTTTAAAATGGTATCCAGACAGTTAAGGCCACTGGATTGGCGATGTCCTTTGCCCACTGCTCTAACTGACGGCAAAATAGTCCTGTGTTGACACTAATGCCACCCCTGGAAGAAACTGGTTAGCACAATTTTTTGCAGTCTCCCAGCACAGAACTCCATGTGAAATAGTTATCTCATTAACAGTGGTCTAGTTACAACTGGATTGGTGGACAAAACAAACAAGCAAACACACACACATACTTTTTGTTGCTCTGGCCTAAACACAGCTGCTGTGTTCATCCTGCTGTGTACTAACTATGGGGTGTTACTATGTTCTGGAATGACAGAGTGCTGGTCAGAGGTGTGTCAATAACCTGGGCACATACTCTTTGGATAGAGAACCAGACTGCCACACAGGAGACATCCAAGAGGTATAAGCTCATTTTAGCTTCCAAACAACCAGATGCTCTGGAAGAGAGGACACTGACATTGAGAGACCCTATGGCTCAGGTTATCTTGGAAGTTCTGCCACTTCATCCCTGATTCCATTCCCCTCTTTGCCCTGAATGTTTAGGTTCTATGAACATTCCTACTCAAATTTCTTACTGTATGTAAGCAGACTGTTATATAGCCAGGTGTTAATTATACACATCAGTAGCACCATTACTTGGGTAACAGAAGACGGCATGATCTGAGTAGGGAATGGCTCTGATGCTGCAGTAGGTATCACCATCTCTTGGGCAGAGGAAGATGAGAAGTTATCGACTGCATTTATGCAAAACTTGCAAAGAACTACTCTCCCTGTGGTATCAACTATTTTGTTCACTAGCATATTGGATTGTAAATGCTGTGCAGCACATAGTAGGTACTGAGTAAATATCTGTTGAATGGATAGAGTCATTATTCTCTTCAACAGCTTCCCACTGTATCTGGGGGTAGGGGGACTCCTTAGCATGCCTTGAATGATTTGGTTCCTGCATACCTCTCCAAATCCAAATTCAGACACTCATATCTTCTTTCAATAATTGTGGCTCCAGCAACAGATCCTTTTTTCAGCTTCTCAAACATGCCAGGCTCTGTTCTCTCTGGTCCCATCACACAGACCACTCCCTCCACCCTCGAGATGGATTCTTTTCATACTTTAAGCTTTAGATTAAGTGTTACCCCCTTAGAAGGATCTTTTCTGATTTTACCATCTAAAGGAAATGCAACCTTCCATCATAGCACATAACATTAGAATTTGTCTACATGCTTGCTTGTAGACAAAGTTTTAAATTTATCTTCATAAATAGACTGTGATCTCCTAGGGGCGTGGTGCAGGGGGGCATATGGCCATTTTATACAGTGTTATATCCCAGTAGCTGGCACAGTACATGACTCAACAAGTATTTGTTGAATGAATAAATAAGCAATGGAAATGGAAAAATTACACTTTATCTGTGAGCAGTGTACAAAATGGACTGGAGGAGGGACAGGCAAAGAAAAAGGGACTAGTGTATTGGTTCTGGTAAGAGATCGAAGCCTGCTTTACGGTGGTGGCGATGGGGATGAAACGGGTGGGTGAAAATAAATCCTGCAGATTACCACAAGCTAAACCAGAGTTTTGAGATCATAACTGAAAAGAAAGGTACCAAGAATGGTAAAGAGCTTAGACCTGGGCAATTGGGAGAATGGCAGCATTCTGAACAGAAACAGAAATGTCAAAAGAAAAAGATGAATATAAATTGTGAGGCCCAAAGGTAAGGAGGCTAAAGACCTGTGGGATTCAGACTGCTGGTCATCTCCCAGGAAATGCCTGTTGGCTACGTGGAAATTTGTTGCTCTCAGGTTGAGAGTATGACCTAGAACAGAGATGTTAGTTGAAGCTATAAGTGTGAACTCCAGCTAGAGAGAGAGTAAATAGAGCAGAGCTGAAGAAAAGGAAAGAACTTAGCTATGGTTATAAAGTACATGTCTTATCTGCTTAGATTCTACATTTCCCTGACTTTTAGGCTACTTCTAACCCACTCCCAGAACTACTTTTAAGGAACAAAAGAAAGGGCTTCACTGCTGACTCTTGGGTCTTCTCTTTGAGCTGCTTCTCATTGAGATTTTAATTTTAGATTTATCATTTTCTTTCACAAGTTTATAAAGCTAAGAAATGAAAAAATTAAAAAAACACTTCTGATACAATAAAACTTAGTCACATTACCTATAATTAATATGCATACCATTTAGAAACCAAGTCTGACATTCTGGAATTTAACATTATTTAAATAATGAAATAAAAACATGACTTGAGAAGAGGTAGAAAGCCATCCTATCAGCTTATTCTGTTACCCTCAGTTAATGATGACAATGGCTAAAAGATTTAAAATTGATGTAAAATACCAGCCCCTTAAAAATCTAGCTGGACTGATTCAAACCATTCTGAAAGCGACGAACTGAGAAATTAAAACTCAACATTTTCTTTCAATCTGATGAAGCTAATGTAAAGTAAGATTCTGCTTATACAAATGAGGTGCTGGTAATATAAACAAGAATTAGAAAGCAAAGTCTGCTAAAAGCAACTCACAGCATGGATAACCATAAGTAGTAAAAGTTAAAGTAATGATTTTTAGACTTTAAAGTGAAAGACTGTTAAACTAGAGAAAGTGAAACATAATTGGGAGGACTGTTAGGTATTTATGACAGTTAAAAACTAGTGAAAATTTACTGAAAATATTTTCTACTCTCAATATATTCTGATAGTCATTAAAGTCAATAAATAATTACCTTCGGTAAGAGAAAAAATACCTCTATTCAGTACAAAGATGCTGATACAAAAAAGTACAACCTTAAAAATCTGAGATCACAATCAAAACCAGAAATTATATTCTACCTACAAGGCAATAAATATTTACATACAGGTGGAAAGAAGAAGTATCACCTTGGTCAGCAAATGAGAAGGTTTTCCTGCAATGTTTCTCAGAAGAAGGGAGGTTTCCCTGTCCAGATAGGAGTGCTTGTGCAGAAAGAGAGAAAAACAAACAAACAAAAAAGGCAATAGAAGTCAATAGAGGTTTTTCTTGTGTTTAAAATACAAAACAAGAATGATTTTCTGTTATTAATCTTGTATCTTTTCCCTAAACTCGCTGAAATGTGTCCAAAAAAAAAGAAAGAAAAAAAATTAAAAAGGAAGAAAAGGAGGGGAAAGTACAGACACCACTGAAGCCCACAGGCATATCCTAGCCGACTCAGGCTGCCCCTCACTCGGGGACCGTGGAGTGCACACTGCAGAGATCGCAGAGCCATCTGCCCACCAGGGCAGTGTTTGTGGACGCTGTGCACACAGCACAAATACACAGGCGTCGAGGACCAATGACATATTCCTTCCTTTTGTAAAGTCTACATAAAGACCCACGCAGCTTTAAATAGCATATTTTCATGAAAACAAAATAAGACTACATCATTTCTAAAACTTCGGCAAGTATTTCTGACCAAAATTCAATGACAGCCACACTAATAGAGAACATGTCCATAAATATTTTGCCTGGTGAATGTCACCTATTTTCAGCAAAATTTTATCAATGCCTTATATTAGGATACTAACAAACTATGTTACACAGTAAAGGACTTGCATAGCAAATGAATATGAATAAAATATTAAGAAGTATTGTTCCCTTAAATTGGTTAACTTAATTAAAACAATTAAGATATTTTCACTAAATTGACTGTGAATAACATAGTCCCTAACTATCCTTTTCCCTATTAATAACTTCTTAGTAACATGTTGTAAGTTTATGTAACTGCATTTAAACTCATGTACTATAAATTACAGCTGTTTTCATATATATGTAATTCAGACTTGCCTGGCCTAAATAATTCCAATTTTAATGCTATGTACTTACTAACTACCATTTAAAACGATACATGGCACAGCTAAGTGGAGTTATAGAAAACACTGTTTAATATTATATTTTATAAATCTAAATGTGTATCAACTGTTATTCTTGAGAAATTCTTTTAACTTTCATAAAAACTATAGCAGCATCCACTATCATAAAGTTCTTTGTCACAGATAATAAAACACACTACTTCAAGATTAGAAATAGTTACAAAACATAATATTAACTTAATATTTACTCATGTCTCATTATGTTGAATTAGGCTTCTCATATAGATTTCACTGCCTTTTTTTTTTTTCAGTTTTGTTTTAATTCAGGATGAACCTTACAAGAACACCTGCCCCTTTCACCCCCTCCTGGAAAGAAAAAGAAACCTAAGGTTAAAAAATACTGGATATAGGCATGGTTCAGTGGATTGAGCTCAAGCCTGTGAAGCAAGAGGTTGCCAGTTCAATTCCCCATCAGGTACATGCCTGGGTTAGGGGCCAGGTTGTGTGAGAGACTACCAATCAATGTTTCTCTTACACATTGATATTTCTCTCCCTTTCTTTCTCTTTCCCTTCCTCCTCTCTAAAAATAAAACATAAATAAAATCTTAAAAAATACTGGATATATTCTTCAAGACTAGCACTAACAAGGTCAGACAACAAAAACAGAGACAATTATCCCTAGGTCATCATTCACCTACATGATATGATTCTCCTGAAGATACAGATACTAGGTGAGCAGAAATTTCCAAAAATTTAATTTAATTTGAGGTTAAAAATCAGGACCAAGGAGAAAACTATGGGAAATGGAGAAGCCAAAGAATTTAAATGGATGACCCATGGCCATGCGGTAAGGTGGGGGAATGATGGTGGGGCCAGTGGTTACAGGGCAGAGGGGAGAAAAGGGGAGGGGAAAATGGGATAACAGTAATAGCATAATCAATAAAATATATTTTAAAAAAGAGCAACTATAACTTTTATTGCTTTTACTCCCATTCATTTTTTTTTGTTATTCACATGTAATTGGGGAAAAAACATATCCTTATACAACTATGTAAAACACACAGAAAATAATTTATTGAAAACTCCTATTTATCTTATTCTTCCTCAGGAAAAGATTCCCAAAATGAGTAAACATCAATGTTTAGAAAATTCTATTTTAAATTTAAAATATTAATCTGCTTCAGCCTATCAGAACAAACTATTACTTGGTAAATATAATTCCAGATCTTAAATTCAAGTTTAAACTTGAATATTTGAAGACTCTAAAGTAGAAGTTATCCATTAAAAAATTTTACAAGGTTTACATAGCTTAAAATAAAAAAGGGATATAGTCATTATAGTTGGTGACACCAACATATGCCACATCTAAAAAATGAGACCACTGCCCTGGATGGTGTGGCTCAGTGGACTGAGCGCCAGCCTATGAACCTAAAGGTCGCCAGTTAAATTCCCAGTCAGGGCGTGCCTGGGTTGCAGGCCAGGTCCCCTGTTGGGGATGTGCAAGAGGCAACCTATTGATGTATCTCTCGCATATTGATGTTACCCTCCCTCTTTTTCTCCTTCCCTTCCCCTCTCTCTGAAAATAAATAAAATTTTTTAAAAAATTTTTTAAATGAAACCACAAACAATAGGTGGGAATGATCATAAATTACTTTGTGTTTGAGACAGTCATATATAGCTATTCACTGGTTAATCACTAGCAGGGAGGGAGGCCAGGTTCCCATGTTCCCTCTATCTAAGATACAAATATTGTAGCAGAATCTACTTGAAATTCCCTTTAACAGCATTAATAACAAATTATTAGTATATCAATAAAAAGATAAAATGCAGGAATTTCACTGGGCTTCATTAATAAACATTGTTTAAAATATTTCATAGTACTTTTCTTATTTAAAATATAGCACAATGACAAATCTATATTATAAGAAACCAAATATTGAAATCATATTATCACTACCTCATTCTAATGTTATAAGGCAGGGAATGATTTTTGTCATTATATAATTATAAGCAAGATCATTTGCAAGAATTTGGCACTTCTCCATTTTGTTTTCTTTGATAGTCTATAAACTGTCTCAGCACATTATCTCTGTTACTGCAGTCAAGGTTATCTACTGCTTCCTATTACCCTAGGATGGTTTGTGTACCTGCTATTACCTATCACAACAAGTCTTAATTCTGGGTCCACCCTACACTTCAGCTTTCTTTTTCCTGTAAAAAATTTTCTGTAAAAAATTTTGAAAACTAAAATAGATATATTATTGTACTATAAATTAATTTTTTGTTATTTTTCCTTCATACTAGGCACGAGGACATTAAATTCATTAAAAATAGGTATGTAAGTTACACTATCTATCAATTTCATTTGGAACAGTAAAAATAGTATTATGAATTACTAGTTATAAAATGAGGGTACTGGAACCAAAACCACTGAAAACTGCTGCTTCAGTGGGAGAAACAAGGAGATGACGATGCAAACAAATGCTGCAGTAAGTGTGATGAGTGTGGGGCAGGGGCTGCAGGTGAGGTTGGAGAAGCGTTTTTGCCTATGCAGTGCTGACCAATGTAAATATAACAGGAGCTACAAATGCAGTTAAAATGTTCTAGTAACCACATTTTTTAACAAGTAAAAAGAAAATGGTGAATTAATATCAGTATTTTTATTTACCTGAAAATATTCATAATATTATAATTTCAGTAAGTAATCAATACAAAAATATTAGCGATATTTTACATTTTTTAAAAATATCAAGTCTTTGAAATCTAGTATATATTTTATCTTTATAGCACATCTCAATTTGGATTAAACACATTTCAAGTGCTTAGTAGCCACATGTGGCTACCATATAGAACAGTGTAGCTCTGAAGCACACACTGACCAGGTATCTACTGACCAAAGGATACATTTTTGATAAAAAAAAAAAATAAGGTTTTCAGGTAAGTATTAGTGCAAGAGAATCATTCTATTTGATATCTCCATTCTGAAAAACAACTATATTTGTTAGTATCTTAAGAAATTTACAAAAGACTTTAGCTTCAGGATAAAAAATAAAGCATATGGTTTCAGGTTCCAATACAGAACCTCTCTATACTACATATGCCATAACCTATACATTTTTACCATGAGTATTACTATTCAATAGTGCCATATCACAGAGTTGCTTCTTTGCTTTTGCTCATTTATTTTTAAGTTTGTTTTAACTTCTAATTGAGAAATTGAGGTATATGACAGGGTTTCATCATCAAAAGTTCTAAAGAATGCATTTCTCTTCACTGATATTTAATAGTCCTATGGACATGTTTATAGAACTTACAGGTGTCAGCTCAGCCTGTTCTTCTGTGAAGTCAATATGATGCTTGGCCTGCTTGCTGGGACATCTCAGAGAAATAGCATGCTGTGAAAAATGCAGGAAGAAGAAAATGACAGGTAAAGGAGGTGGAAAAGGGCAGTTTTCATTATCATGCAGGAAGAGAAAAGATCACTGAGATGAACAGTTGAAACAAAATGGTAATGAAAAGTTGCACATACCTTTCATATTATGAAAAAGTAAAGAAGGTAAGAGCCAGGTGATCCTGGCCTTTAATAACTTAAGGATAACCTCACTGTATTTCTGGACAGTAGAGCTCTGTGAGTGAACTATGCAGAAACACTGTCCATTAACAATTCATGCTCTGAACCTCAACTGGGCCTCAATTGCTGTAGGACCACACTGGGTATATCCTCGTCACTCACTCTAAGCTTGTTTAAAGTAGTCTCCAAGTTCTTCAAGCTTCTAATTTCACCCTTCCACCTCTTCACAGAATCTCACTTCCCTCCATTAGTAAGCAAGTCACATCCATGTATTTTGAGGATCTTCATCACTAATATGTCTCCAAAGCTAAGCATATGCCAGATCCCACTCATTTCCCCTCTTGTATCCCAGTCTCTGACACTGAACTAAACCAGCTTATTGGTGGTGGCAGGAAGGACAGAAAACAATCAAGTCTTCTGGGTACCCTCCTCTTCTTAAAGTGTTATTTTCTCATTTTCACTGTCAAATTTCTTGAATTCAGCTATAGTGTACCTCCTCCATTTACCCAATTCCCCACAATCTAGCATACACCTATTTTTTTCCAAAGTCTTTATCCTTGTAGTTGTGATGTATTCTGTAATTCATTTTTGAAGTCACCAATGACCTTTTAACCAAGAAGGTTTTCTGTCTTTCCTATTAGTGCTCACACCATGCTGTACTGAAACCACCTGTTTGCTTATCTGTATTGACACCATCTACTCATACAATAAATTACAACCTCATAAGGACGTTGTGTTTTATGTTCCGTTTTATCCCTTAGAGCTAAGTGCTATATCTGGGAATATATGAATAAGCTATTTTTTGGTCTTAATGCCACTGCTTGGCCAGATGAAGACTGTTTTTGCTTTCCTGCCTCTCCATTGTCTCACTAAACATATTCTATAGCACTGTGTCAATCACTACATCACTGGGAGGACTATCAAATCTATACTGCCAGTATCCTCATTCTTAGGGAACAAAAACTGACGCATCAATGGCTAAAGTGGCATGATACATGCATTATCACCAAATAGTTCAGGAAAAAATGTATGTGTAAAAAAAGTAATAAAGTAAATATGGCAAAATGTTATAAATTAGTGAATTTGAGTAATGAGTTTCATGAGTTCTTTGTACTATTCTTTCATGTTTTTGTAAGCTTGACATTTCAAAATAAAGTTTTAAAAAATCTATTCTTTCTAGATTGTCACACAAGCTCACATATTTATTAGTTAATTTTTAAAAAATCTAAATCTGAAGTGTTCAAAAAGAAATAACTGCTTGTGTACCATGTTAAACAGTATGATTGAATATTGCAATTATTAAAATTCAACACATCCTTACCAATAATAAATATATATATGCAAAGTGACAAAAACAATAGAAAATAGTACATATGCAAACAAAGATTAAATGCTGTTACATTAATAAAGATGAAAAAGGGACTGTGGAATGATAAAAACAATTTATTTAATGTTAATTAGAGTCCATTTCCATAAAACATTTACTTTCCTACAAAAAAACTGTCTCCCCCAATCTAATTTTTATCTGTTCTTCATCACTACTTTAAATGTGAAAGCTATGCTCAAAACACATAATAAAATTGAAATTTGGGAGTCAATTTTCCACATAAATTTTGCTCTAAACATTCTCAGTTCTAAATCTTCCATTTGTTATAAAACTATCAAATTTTCCATCAGTCTATGAAAAAACCTCTCCACAAATCTCTGCAAAGTAACGGATCACTACTTTTTTGAACTGAATCTGAAACATGTTAAAATTAAGTATGATTAATGAGCCAGAATCTTAGGTGGGGTGGAGTGGGGTGGGGTGGGAAGGGGAATATATAAAAAAGCATTGATCTGAACATAGGAGCCAAACCATAAATCAAGAAACAGTCTTGTACCAAAGTCATGGTTACAAAGTAAGCACTTCCTTTTGATAGCTAACACCTTAGATTACAACTGGAAGTTGGAATACCCATTGGTGTTTCAAAAGCATATTTATGTTTCTTTTTTATTGACATGTGTATGAGCCTTCCACAAATATTTAAAAAAAGGAAGCATAGCATGATGGTTGAGGATGTTGACCCTGGGGCTGGAGTGCTAGGGTTTAAGCCCCAGCTGGGCTATTTACTGGCAATGTGACTCTGAGCTTATTTAACCTGTTTCCCCAACTGTAAAATGGGGTTATAATAGCATTTATCTACAAAGGTTGCCAGAAATAGGATTCTGTTAGAATAAGATTTTAGCCCTTATCTAAATTTTATAAGCTTCAATGCATTTAGATGAGAGCTTAGAGTTGTTAAATTTTAACTATATTCAGAGATATACTAAATACCACCACAAGATGGGGATGTTACTATATAAATCTCTTTGCCTTTTTTTCCCCTCCCACCCATGTACATTCTGTCTCTAAAGCGTGGATCTGAGAGTGCTGGCCAATCTAGCTTTGTCTTGATTCTCCGTTAATTCCATGATGAAGCAGCATGGTATTGCAGTATGAGCTCGACAATCAGAATGTCTGGGTTCAAATCCCTGGTAAAGTTATTTAGTCACTCCCTGCCTTAGTTCTTCCACTGTAAAACAGAAGCAATGTTTTTACCTTACTATTTCACAAGGTCCCTGGCAGACTGTGTTAAGACATGTACAGCACAAAACTCACCACAGAATAAACACTCAATATAGTAGCTGCTGTTGTTTCCCCTTTTCTTTTTATTCCTCTCCCTTTACAGAACATTATATATTACTGGTCAATGAATATTTGAGGGTTTTTAAAACTATTTCTTTTATATTTTATAGTCTATTAATTTTTAAAAGATATATTTCTATTCTTGTTTTAAGAAAAAGTCTTTTACTACCCCTCCACAACATAACATATAAAACAAAAAAGAAAAACAAAACAAGCCCTAAAAATAAAACCAAATGAAGGTTCCTTTTTTACCTCTTCAGAGAAGAAAAATGGCAGATTTCTAAGAAATACACACAGAAAGAAATCACAGCATTTATGCCAGAGTTGATTGGGATAATCAGAGGGTTTGAAACAGGTTTGTGAGTGAGAACTAGACATTTCCCTTGGCTTTTGCCAAATCTATAGCTTGTTCTTTCACTTGGTACATATTCTTTATACTATTAACTTAACTAGGTTACATCTGCAAAATCTAGAATTAAAACACCAAGTTGGTACATGTAAATAAATTTCTGTAAGATGTAGCAACATAGCCATTAGAATTTTTTAAAAATGTAGCTGCAACAACTGAAAAATCAATCAATAACTCCAATCTTTTAGATATGCAGGTCACAAAGTTTTAGGAAGCCCTGTGCTTCCCTCCTACCCAGTTAATACTCCAGATCAAAGGACTGTCTGCTAAGGATAATTCAATGGGCTTCAATGCCAGTGGGGTTTCCACCAATGCTACAAATGCAACTGCTGTTTTCTTCCCAATACCTCAAAATTTCTGAACACATTAATTCTTGAAATAGTTCTGAAAAGTGAAGGAAGTGAAGGAATTACTTTGAAGCTATGATGCTCTGTGTTGCATATTTATGAGTTATAACAGTGTATCCATGAAAGATTTTACTTAACAATAATGCATATACATATGAAGAAAACAATAATATCAAAAGTCTGAGTAGCTTAGATTTTCCTATTATTTTATATATATAATACAATCCTCAAGTATTCTTAAGATTAGGCAAAAAATCTGCCATAAACTAAAGTGACAGCTTTTAAAATCATTTTCATTTTAAAAATACCTTTTCATATATAAAATTTCAAATTCAGACGAATTATTAAATTTAAATCCCACCAGAACACAAATATGAAGGTATATTTGAGCATTAACTTTTATCGGTAAACATTATCTTATATAAAGTTTATAACATGCAACTGCTATTTAAATTTGCAAACTGATGTCTTACTCTTCAATAAGACAGCAGTTTGTTTCAATTGTTTTAATCCAGTTAATATGAAAATACCACAGATGACAGAAAATTATCTGCAACATTTATTTTACATTGGTTAAGATTTAAGGAGTCCCTATTAGAATTTATTTCAAGTAAAACAAAATTTAATTTAAAAAGTTAGCAAATAAACATTACTATGGGTAGCATAAGAATACTGACTAAAATAACAATTTATTTTTACGTTTATCCATGGAAAATATTTTTATGCTAAAACATTCTTTAATGTTCTGAAAATAAAGGTTTTTAACAATCAGCTTCAATTTACTTTTAAGAAATTAATAAAAATTGAAAGGCGAATGTTTAGTTTTGAAATTCAAATACAGATTTCTCAGTTTTTCCCACCTACTTAATCTCTTCTTTGGAATAAAGCCCCTACCAAAGGGATAGTTGGGAGGCTTAAGTGAGATAACCTGTGAAGTGCCTGTGAACACAGTATTTCAATAAGAGTCAGGAAAAAGAAACTCAGAGAAAAGAAACGTACTCTCTCATGAGAAACTGTACTGTGCCTATCGATGCCTGTTGGCTTTGAGAGGCCACGGAGGCAGAAAGCAAAGCTCCAGTATTATTTATTTGTAGATGGGCAGTTTGAATATCCATATCTCCAATATGAGAAATAAAACCAATCTCAAACTGATTTTTCTAACTGCTTTTTGTGTCACTAAACCTCAGCTGCAAGTAACTTCTGTCTTAGGTTCTCTTAGAACACCGATTCATTTATCAGTTCAAATAGTTTCCTGTTGGAATCTTTGGAATTCTCTACATACAGTATCATGTCATCTGCATATAATGACAGTTTTACTTCCTTTCCAATTTGGATGCCTTTTATTTCTTCCTCTTGTCTGATTGCTATGGCTAGGACTTGCAGTACTGTGTTGAATAAAAGTGCTGAGAGCACACATCCTTGTCTTGTCCCTGATCTTAAGGGAAACACTTGTTTTTGTCCAGTGAGTATAAAGCTGGCTATAGGTTTTTCATATATGGCCTGTATTACGTTGAGGTATGATAACTCTATTCCCACTTTGCAAGGTTATTTTTAATCATAAATGGGTGCTATATTTTATTGAATGCATTTTCTACAACTGTTGATATGAACATATGATTTTTATCTTTCATTTTGCTTATGTAACATATCACATTTATTGATTTGCAAATATTACAACAACCTTGCATCCCTGGGATAAATCCCACTTGATTATGATATATGATCTTATTAATATATTGTTGGATCTGGTTTGCTAATATTTTGTTGAGGATTTTAATATCTTTGTCTATCAGGCATATTGGCCTACAATTTTCTTTCTTTGTAGTGTCTTTATCTGCTTTTAGAATTAGGAGAATGCTGGCCTTTTAAAAGAGATTGGAAGTCTTCCCTTCTCTTGTATTTTCTGGAATAACTTGAGGAGGATACACGTAGTTCTTATGTGAATATATGGTAAAATTCTCCTGTGAGCCACCTGGTCTGACTTTTGTTTGTTGAAAGTGTTTTAAATACTGCTTCAATTTCATTAGTTGTAACCATGATGTCTATTCAGGTCTGATTCTTCCTGATAGTTTTGGAAGTTTGTATGTTTCTAGAAATGTAACCATTTTGCCCGGGTTGTCCAATTTGTTGGCATGTAGTTGTTCATAGCATTTTCTTATAATTCTTTGCTTTGTATTTCTGTAATATCAGTTGTTACTATTCCTCATTCATTTCTGATTTTATTTATTTGGGTCCTTTCTCTTTTATTTTATTTGATGAGTCTCGTTCATCAATCTTGTTTATCTTTCCAAAAGAACAAGCTCTTTGTTTCATTGATATATTTTTTTGTACTGTGTTTTTAGTCTCTATGTCATTTATTTCCATCCTGATCTTTATTATTTCCTTCCTTCTACCTACTCTAGGCTTTATTTGTTGTTCTTTGTTCTTTAGGTGTAGCATTAGATTGTTTGTTTGATCTTTTTCTGCTTCTTGAGGTACACCTGTGTGTTCATGTTTCCAGTTACTTTTTCATCTCTTCCTTGATCTCATTGATAATCCATTACTGTTTAATTACATGCTATTTAGCCTTCATCTGTTTGATTGTTTTTGAGTTTTTATTATTGTTGATTTCTAGTTTCATGCCATCGTGATCTGAGAAGATGCGAGATGATTTTAATCTTGAATCTGTTAAGACTTATTTTGTGTCCTAACATGCGGTCTATCTTTGAGAAGTTCTATGTGCACTTGAGAAGAATGTATATTCTACTGTTTTGAGATAAAATGTTCTATAAATAGTAATTAAATCCATTTGATCTAGCCCTGGCTGGCTGGTGTAGTTTGGTTGAAGCATCATCCTGTTCACCAAGAGGTCTGGGGTTTGATTCCCATTCAAAGAACATGCCTAGGTTATGAGTTCAACCTGGGGAAGGAGTGCGTGTGGGAAGTAGCTGATCAATGTTTCTCTCTCTCTCCTTTCCTATTCCTATACAAATCAATCAATCAGTTCTTTTTTTACAAATCCATCTGATCTATTGTGTTAAGTTCACTGTGTCCTTGTTGATTTTTTTGTCTGGAAAATCTATCCAGTGATGATAGTAGGGTGTTAAAATCCCCTACTATGACTGCAATGCTACCAATCTCTTCCATAAAGTCCACCCAGATTTTATGTATTTATGTCTCCTATATAGGGTGCATGTATGTAGAAGAGGATTATATCTTCTTGTTAGATTGATCCCTTTAATATTATGTAGTGAACTTCTTTGTCTCTTGTTACGGCCCTTGTTTTAAAGTCTATTTTGTCAAATATAAGTAGCGCCATGCTAGCTTTTTTGTTTTTTAGTTTCCATCTGCATGGAATATTTTTTCCATTCCTTCCCTTTCAGCCTGTGTGAATCTTATGTTCTGAGGTGGGTCTCTTGTAGACAGCATATATACATGGGTCATGTTTTCTTATCCATTCAGCTATCCTGTATCTTTTGATTAGAGCATTAATCCATCTACATTTAAGGTTATTATTGATATACTTATTTATTGCCATTTTTTTCTTTATACATATGTTCATTTCTCTGCCTCTCTTCTTCTTAGAGGAGTCCTTTAATCATTTCTTGCAATACTGGTGTGGTGGTAATAAAGTTCTTTAGCTGTTTTGTTGTTGTTGTTTTTGGTGGGGTTGCGGTCTGGGAAGCTATTTCACCTTCAATTTTAAATGACAGCCTTGCTGGGTAGACTAGTCTTTGTTGCAGTTCCTTTGTTTTGCATCACTTTGAATACTTCATGCCAACCCCTTCTGGCCTGAAGTGTTTCTGTTGAGAAATCAGCTGACTGCCTTATGGGAACTCTCTTAGGTAACTGTCTCTTTCGCTGCCTTTAAAACTCTGTCTTTAACCTTTGCTACTTTAATTATGATGGGTCTTGCTGTGGATTTCTTTGGGTTCATACTTGATTGGGACACTGTGCGTCCTGAACTTTATAACTTTATCTTCACCAGGTTAGGAAAGTTTCCAGTCATTACTTCTTCAAACAGGTTCTCTATCCCTTACTCACTGCCTTCTCTTCTGGTAACCCTGTGATGCAGATGTTAAGTTTGACGCTGTCCCAGAAATCCTTAGACTTGCCTCATTTCTCTTAATTCTCTCTTCTTTTTGATGCTCTACTTGGTTACTTACTGTTACTTTGTCCTCTCATTCACTGATTTGACTCTCAGCTTCACATAACCTGCCTTAAATTCTTTTCAGTGTATTCGTCATTTCAGATATTGTGTTCTTGATTTCTGACTGGTTCTTTTTTTTTATGGTTTTTATGTCCTTTTCTTTTTAAATCCTCACCCAAGAATATGTTTTTACTGAATTTTGAGAGAGGAAGTAGGCAAGAGAGAGAAATGCTGATGTGAGGAAATATCGATCAGTTGCCTCCTGTACACACCCCAACTGGGGATCAAACCTGCAATGTTTTAGTGGAGCATGACACTCCAAGGAACTGAACCACCTGCAGAAGGTGGTTTCTATGTCCTTTTTAATGCTATCTCTTTATGTTCTCGCTGAGATCATCCATTTTTCCCCTAAGATCCCTGAGCATCTTTACAACCGTTAACTTTAAACTCTGCATCTAATATTTGGGTTGCTTCTGCTTCATCTGTTTCTTTTCATTCTTTTTTCTGAGGATCTCTCTTGGGTTTTTTTTGTTGTTGTTGTTCAGGACATTTTTCTTTGCCTCCCCATTTGGTGTCTGTGTTAGGTAGATGTACTGTGTCTCCCAAATTTGTTTTGATAGTTTTATGCTGAAGATGTCTTTTTGGGCTCAGAGGCACAGTCTTCCAGATCACCTGAGCTCCATGCTGCAGGAGTATTTCTTGTGGCTTATGTGTACCCCTGTTGTAGTTGAATCTTGAATGCTGTTGGCACTTTTGTGGATCGATTTAACCCTTCAGGCTGTGAGACTGTAATGTTAAATCTTGACTATCATGTGTGAGAAGCTGTACAAGGGCTGTCCCTTGAGACAGTGCTGTTCCTAGCTGGGTCTGTTGCCTGCAGGAGTCCTCCTTTGGGTGGGCCAGTTGTGTGGCTAGCTGGGTTGAGCTCTGGTGTGGTCTGAAGCCCCACCACTGGTTTTGTTGGTTTGGGTCCACTTGGGTTGACTTCAGATACATGTCATTGTCATATGTTGTGTGTAACTGGCTTTGGGCTACCTATGTGTAGCTACCACATTGTTCACTGTTTGGTCTGTGTCTCCAGGACATGGATGTTCATGTGAGGGGCCAATCTGTGTAAAAGAGTCAGCTCCTCCCTGTTCATACCTGGGAGAGGCTCTGTAAAAGGACCAAGGTGCCCTGAGGTCTGCCTTCACCTTTCATCTACTCTGCCTTCCTCTGAGGCTGCCTGGTTTTTCTACAGAGCCTCCAAAAGAGAGACTGTACGATGAGCCCAGGATAGCCAAGATTGGGCTTGTGGGACCCCTACTTTGGGATCAAGCAGTCAGGCACTCAATTAAGGGAAAGCAACCCCTGCTTCAAAGCCACCCCCCTTAGTCTCTGCCAGAGTCTCCATCTCTAGTTTGCCCTAGGCGGGCTTGCTGCAGATTCAGGGTCAGTACAGCCAGCTGTCCCCTATGTAAGAGCAAGCTCAGCCACCGTGGGCTCAGGGGGATAGATCAAAATAGTCTCCCATTGGAGATGATACCAACCCAACCCACAGGAAGACACTGAGCACTTCGTCCCAGTCCCAAAGAATAGCCTCTGAGAGTCTCACACTCTGAATGTCCCTGCTCTGAGACACTCTCCCTTCTCACCCACAGAATTGCACCCAGCACAGGTAACTGGGACTTGGCAAGGCCGACTGAAACAATCTTGCACTGCGGTGGTACCTGTAAGTCTGTAGGAGAAGATGGGCACTTCTTTTCCTTCACAGGGTATTGCGGACAGAACTTGCAGGAGAGCTTGGATTTGCATCCCCACAGTATAGCCACACAGCACAGCACTTGCCCATCTGGCCGGCAGACCAAAGCCTCCTTGGGGTCACACTCTGAAAATCTTAGCTCTGGGCAGCTGGTTGCAGCAGAGCAGGACCAAAGTCTCAGCCCCACACATGGGCTCCAAACCCAGCAGGGTGGGCTGAAAGTGCCAGCCTTGCACAGCTCCTCTGTACCATTGGCGCAGCCTAAATCTTTTCTTAATCGTTTTTGTGACACTGCCATAGCTGGTAATATATTATTTTTGTGGTGACTGTAAAGCTTTGCTCAGAGGTATCCTTGATAAATTTTAAATGCAGAAAAAATAAAGTTATTTAAAACTTTACATAAAAAAATATTGTTTTCTACTTTAATACTAAAATACCAGGAAAAAAATTCAATTTGCTTACCTCAGTAATTGGCTGCCCCTGATGTGTCAAATCCAGTTCTTGAGGGCGTGTTACTTTGTCAATATCCAAAGAGTCCATGCTGGAAGCTGCAGAAGTGACGCTAGAGCGAGAGGAGTTACTAATCGAGCGTACTTCAGCATCACTCACTGTGCCTGCCGATGCCGTTCTTCTGTGCTGATTAGTTACTAAGGGCTTAGCATCTTCTAGTACAGACTGCTGAGCAGCCTCATCCATGCTCAAGGAGGCCTGCTCTAACTGTGCAGTAATGTCATCCAGGGAGTAGTTGGCATGTGATGGTTTTGTTATCCTATTAGTTGATGAAGACAGTCCTTTCAAGGTGCCATGTTTCGATATATGTCGGCTAGGAGGTACTTTCTGAGTGGCTTTTGTTTCTGTGGTTTGACGCTTACTATTTCCTGCACTGATACTGCTGAGCTCCTGCTCTATAGAGCAAAGATCGGCCATTAGGGCATCCAGATCCACGGTTTCTCCCTGATTCAGAGCTTCTGCAATGAACAACATATATCATGTTTCCATAAAACTGAATCAGAATGTATACATTTTACTGTAAATCAGTTAATGAATTTAGGGGAAGAAACCAAAAAAGTCATCTTTATTGGACCTAAAGCCTCTCAAGTATAATATTTCTAAGTTTTGTGTTTTATATTCCAAGAGAAATTTTAGAAGCAAACACTCCATCTTTTAAGATTTAAGCAATCAGAAGAGAAAATAATACAAAACCTGTGCACCGTCCCTAGTTTTAACCGTATCCCAAATGCAATTTTTTACCAGAGGCTCTAAGTTGTTAATATGATCAGTGCCCTGGTAGAGATGTTACCTAGAGTTGAGGGCATAAAGAGAAATGTAAAGCCTAAAACAACTACAGATTGGAATATCAGTCAAATACTATAAAGTTAACTAGGTAGAGGACATTAATAAAGGCCAAATGGGCTGATTATAAAATTACTAACAAGTAACTTCACTGGACTTTTATTACTTTTTGTGAGGTTCCACCTGAGTATGTACCTTGTCAATTACTAATAACTCAACCAGAACACTATTTTAGCTATGTTCCAGTTTGTTTTTTTCTGTGATCATTTGTATCAGTAAAGAAATACACAAATAACTATAAGAACTCAGTCAAGTTATGTACATAATTTTTATATTGAGATATCTGAAACTGCAGCTGTACTGATTCTACATTATATAACTTAGTATACAATTTTACATTTTATTTCCAATTACATCTTACCATTCAAGTTGTATATGGAGAAGCGATAAGAAAAATTGGCAATGTTTGTTTCCTGGCGAAGAGGAGATCTTTTTACTGGTTCCATCGGCTTGTCAGAATCCAAACTCTTTAAAGAAGAAAATTTTGTTAAGTCATTATATTCATGTCTCAATTATATAATAAGTTAGTTTGTTTTATGATGAAGTAAATTGTTATAGAACAGCCAATAAAACCTTTAGTTTTTCTAGGTAACAGCCTTAAGTATAATTGGTTTTCATATTATTTTGGTGAGAGTATATTTTTATTTTTTAGATAATAATCTTACTTAAGGCACTTGAGACTGTCATAGTTAAGAGTAAATATCCTTCCAAATGCATCAAATATAGCCACAATTCATTTTACATCAATTTACTATAAAATAAACTAGGTACATAAATATGAGCATGGTAAGATAAATAGGAAGAAATGATGCAGATAATTCTGTTATCTCTTTCCTCAAAAGTAGTTTGTTTTTGGTCCAGCACAGCATCACTCTTGGCATGAAGTACCCTGAAATAAGGTACAATTCTGGACTCAGAATTAGTGAGACCCAAGATCTTAATGGAGCGGCTACAATTATAATGGAATATCAGTGTTCTTTCCACGTTCTGTGAGGGCACACTGTAACTCAGCCACACTGTTTGTGCTAAGTCTAGAGCTACACTGCACTTCGCGGCAGGGCATCTAGTAAGTTATCTCACTGTGTCTTAAAATGACACTTTTTCTAAAATAAGGAAAGTAAGATGTTCACAACAGAGAAATTCAGAGTAAGGGCCATTAGTTATTTAGCTTTTATTTAAATAATTTCCAAATATTGAGATTAGTCTTTCAAAACTTGAATTCCTATCTATAATTATTAAATAGATTTCAAATAAAAAAGAATGCTAGATAGTAGAATCATGGAATTAGATTAGACTGCTATTATCTTTATTTAATTTATCTCAAGATAAAACAAATCCATTCAGCAAGTGTCCATCCAGTTTTTAAAACTATCATATGAAGGAGATTTATGACCATTTTAGTGCCTTAGTTCAAAATTTCACAAAGCAGCCAGGAAATTCTCCTTGAACCTCAAACCTAAGTCTTTTGCTGCAATTTAATAACCTTTTCTCAGTGGAAATAAAGACTAATAGGTAGATAATGCTTTCTGTAAAGTAACTTGAATATAATTGAGGGCATATTAAAAGTCAGTCTACTTACCAGTTTAAACAGATACTTATAATTATTTGCTATGTTCATGGTGCTGGGACAACAAAGGAAAGAGCAAGAAATACTCCTTGATACGAAGAAACTGGTAACTTAGTAGGGTGGTTTTTAATCTTTTGGAGGGTAGGGATTGGGGTTTCACTGAGAATTTGAAAAAAGCTATGCACCTTCCAGAAAAAGATAAAAGTACACACTCAATTTTACACAAAATTTCAGGAGATTCACAGACCACTTAAAAATTAAACCTGATTTAATATAAAAGTGAAAATCTATTAACACTGCATGTGTGATATAGGTGCACAAATGACACTTTGTAGTGAACTAAAATAATAAACAAAAACCCTGTGGTTTTAAAGCCCCTAACTAGTAAAATTTTTGAAAATTCCCAAGTGCTAAAAAGCAATTTGCTAGCAGTGAACCACATTACATGGTTTTTAAAACTCCTTCTCTCTAAAGACAGATTTGTATAATGAAAAGAACGGTCACAGCACTAGTTTAGGAGCTGACTTTTTTGGTGAGTCGCTCTTTACATATAGATGTCAGGGGATTTAAAATATGAAGAAGAAAACAAGGTACTGGACCAGCAGAAATGCCATCTGCAGTGGAGGAGCATGGAGTACTACACCTAGAGCAGCTGGAGTGATACCCACCTGTCTTTTCTCTTCTTGGCCTCCTTCCCAGGTATGACCATTGAAACCATACAGCTGAGGAAACCCCACACATGTCAGCTTACCCTCACATACATTCCTTCATGCATTATTTTCTATTTCTTCTACTTTATTTCCCCTTTCCTTTTTCTCCTCAGCATAGAATTGCATAGCCTAGTCATCATCTCTAGGCCAAAATCACCTTTTGTAAAAAATTAAGAATTAAACTGATATGGTTTCACAATTACAAATATAAGACCTTTCTCTCAATAAGCAATGTTATTTCTCCTGATTGGAGATGAAATGAATGATTCTTATGAGATCCTTGTGGAATTAAAAGCATTCTCCTCAAAATTCAGCAATAACAGATTATGGTCAGAAATGTGTGCTTTTCAAAATGATCTAAGAATTATGTAAAGAGTGTATCAGTTAATTATAGACTATTATGGAAAGAAACAAACCAGTACTTTAAGTTTATACCTTACCATCTTTTCTACTAATTAAGGAATTGCATATTTAAGCAATTTTACATAAAAGTTCTTCCCAGAGATATTAAGGAATGAAAGTAATTTTTGTTCTACTATTCTCATTGCCATAAAGTTAAAGTTGTTTTAATAAATACAACCATTTTCAGGTGTTAAACATAATGTATTAACTGGGATAGTAACAATGTACCCTTTATTCTAAAAGTGACCTGTTTTAGAGGTAAGACTGTTCTTTAAAAACAGATAAATAAGCCCCAAGATACAATAAAACCAAATGAGAAAGCTTTGCCACTGTTTTAAAATGCAGCTGGGAATGGAATTTTGTCAGTATTCTGGAATCATGTAATAGAAAATATTTGCATGTAAAGATATTATTTATGTTGTAAAATGTTTTCAAATTCAGTTGTGAAATAGGATTTGCTAAAATTTAGATTTTAAAATTTTAGGCTTTAAAACATTTTAGCCAGCAATCTCAATTTATGAAACAGATTTTAATTAATCCCTGTAGATGAACGGAACCTCTGTCACAAGTATTTTTTTTTTAGACTCCTTCAAATAACCAGAGAATATCTTGTCTTACAGCACTGTTCGTTTACTTTTTAATGCTTTGGACATTTCCCCTTACAGGGGGAAATGCAACCTCTATCCATATACTTATCAACTTCTAGCACACGGTCATAACTTAAAATTCTTGACCAGTTTTTCAAGCACATTTTCTAACCTGAGTGAGTTTGTCTAGCTCCCCCAGCCAAGCTCCAAACATTTTGTCCAGGTCTTGATCTTCTTTGTCACTATCTTCTTCGGCACCATGGTCGATCTCTTCATCTGACAGCTGCTCCATCTGAAACACATTTGTGTAGAACAGACAGTTACAGGTTAATCTTCAGAAAGTATGCAGTGTATGTTCTGATATATAATGCAACTCTGTGGAGTCAAATCTTCACAACTACAGAGTTTATATTATAAAAGAAAATTAGAAGTCATTCTGGAGTCAGGGTTGACAAGTGAGTAGAAATGAACAATTAAGGGTCAAATTTTTAGAAAACTGTGAAAAAGTGAACTGTATTAGGTTATGACCAAAATCACAAGTAGAAATAATCTAAAAATTGCAGATTACTCCCATTAATTAAAGGATATGAGAACAGTTCTCTCCACTAATTTTATAACACCCCAAATGCCACAGAGAAACAATTCCAGAAGACTTTAATGCAACAAGGTATTTTTTGTAAAAATTTGTTTAAATACAAATAAGTATTTATCTTGCAAAAACTTAGTCCAACAAGCATTTCAGAGAAAATACAAAACCAAAATTTTAATCTAATCTAGTTTGTTGAATTAGTTCCTCCTATCCTAGTCTCACTTTCTACCCCATCTATCGTTTACCTTATTTCCCCATTTGTTCCTGCAAAATCCAAGGGACTAGATTTGAAACAGAAAACTAGAATTTAGTATACAACATTTCCCACATGTAGTGACTTTTTAAGTATATAGTGCCTTGCACAAAAAGGTATTTTGCTTTTTCCCATTAATAACACAGTGTGACAGCCCTGGCTGGTGCTGCTCAGTGGGTTGAGTGCTTGGCCTGGGAACCAGAAGGTTGCCGGTTCATTTCCCAGTCAGGGTTTGGGTCGTGGGCCAGGTTCCCTGGTTGAGGGGCAAGAGGCAACTGATCGATGTTTCTGTTCCTTTGTTTCTCCCTCCCTTTCCCTTTCTAAGAAGTAAATAAAATCTCTAAAAGAATAAAATAATGTGGTATCTGACATGGAACTTGCATATTATTTTGTGAAGGGAGAAAAAGTTTACACAAAATAAAATCAATGACTGACCAGACACATAAAGTCTTTAAAGTAAAATTAATCTAATTAAAAAATATTTCAATATTAAAAGCTCAGAAAACTCTTCAGTAAAGCTGAGTTTTGTTTAAAACAACATACTCTATATATTCAAAATTCATCTGACCACAAATCTTTTTCCTTCAACTTGGAGTAATACATATAAACATAGGGACACAATGAATATCATCATTGTGCATTCTATGTTCTTGACTCACATTTCTGAAACACATATTTTGTTCTACTGGATCTAGGAAATATTTGGGATACAACCTATCAAATAGTTTTAAAATTCTTCAGAAATTAATGATATCCTTAATCTCAAATAAGAATTTGTACTATCTTACACCTCCAAAGAAGCAATCAACAAAATTACCTCTGTGATCCTTAAATGTGGTTATGTATAAAGAAGCTAATTAGCTGATGAGATGTCCTGAAGTTAAAATTTAAACCTTATTTTGCTGCATAAAAATTTGCAGAAAGGGTCAAATAATGTTGAAAAATCAATCAAAATTAGTTCTAACAATGTTAAAAATCAGACCATATCTCATTTTAATCACTGAAATAATTTTCTTAAACTTAATAACTACAAAGGAAAAAAGCTTATCAATATCTCTAACAGAAATAATTGTTCTAATTTCTTAATGTTACTACTCTAACCATGTATAAATCAGGGCATTGTACCTTGACAAATGAAAATGAATCCACTAATCTTCCAATTCATAAATGTGGCTCTTAAAGACATTTGGTTTTGAAATTCACTTGTGTTAATACTATCTCTAAGATTTTTATTCATTATTGAATAATCCACAGATCGATCTCAATTTATATCATTCCTCGTTGAATTATCTACTCATCAAACATAAAATATTAGTGCAAAGTAAAACCTCATGTGATCAGGTAACTTATTTATATAACAGATGCTCGTTTGAAAATATCTAGGAGTAGTAACACTGAGTTTTCATAATGTGGGCCAACAAGCAACCAAACTGGGAAAAGTAATGGTCAACTTCCTCTTCCTCCCCAATTTTCAAAACTAAACACAGTGGAATAACCCAGAAACTAAAATATTAGGAGGAATTCTGCTTTGGGATGATACTTATGTCTGCACTTCCCGTCTGAACACCCACTGTAACTGCCTATAAGACTCTATTTTTAAAAAAGGGAAACAACAGGAATATAATTTTACAGAGTAAACACAACACAGTTCAAAATGAATTTTAGTATTTTAAATGACCACAGAACCAAAGAGAACTACAGACTACACATGGAAGTCTGTTGTGTTTTGTGAGTTTCTTGTAATTCACACCTAATAATTATTTACATTAAAAAATCTCTTTAAATATTTTCATTAATAGTTTTGTTTACCTAGACTACTATAGACTCAAGTAGAATTATGGAATAGGGAAATTTTGAGGCAACTGTTCAACTCTTGCCATTTACATAACTTGTCAATTGCAGTATTCTTGAATTCCTATTACCACTTGAGTTACTTTTATAAAAATTAACTTCAGACATTTATTCAGAGACTTTTCCAATAAAAATTTAGGTTTTGCAACATTTAAGGATCTATACTCTAAAACAGCACTCTCCATTCCTTAGAAGCTGATATTGACCTTTATTCTCTTATCTCCACTATGGCATCATGTCTGTTTATTTCACACACTAAGTGAAGAACCCCCCAGTAAGTTTTTTTATAGTTTCTGCACTGTCTAAAGTCAGCAAATCTAGTAAGGAAATTCATTCTTTGTTATATTTTGAGGCCTGCCTCCAATTAAATCACAATACTAAACCTGAATTTCTCAACATAATGCCCTTAATGGAAATGATAGCAGCATAAAATGCAAATAACATAATACAATAGTCAGTCAGTCAACTGTCACTCCAAACAAAAGGGAGAATAAGTAAAAGAAAACAGAGCTTATAAATTAAAAAAAAAATAATGTGGATTTAAATGAATAGCTTCTAATATGATGTTTTTCCTTAATGGTATGCAAACAGGTCTGAGGAAACTATCATTATACTAGAACAAATCTTATTGTTCTGTGATTATTAGATTAGGTACTTTGGGGGAAATATTAAAGTTTTACTTAAATTCCCTGTTCCATTATACCAGTTTCCTGAAAGAATAAGTGTATCCTACATAAATGAAAAGGTTTACGCTCCCCAAGTTGCAGACATATTGAATACAGACTAAAATCCAAAGCTGCTGGCCGGTCAACAGGCCTGTGTAGTCTGGCCTTTAGGAACCTCTCTGACCTCTCTTCCTACTACTCTCCACTCCAGCCACATTGGGTGTGGACTCTGTTCTGAAGATGTCTGGCAAACATCCAACTGGAAAAAATGGGGAAGAGTTAAGTTAATGAGAAGGTTTAGTTTGTTTGAATATTATTTCAAAATCATGTTTTTTACAGAAATTCACAGTATAGTAATAATGACTTAACTAATAATTTAAACTAATTTACATTTATTTCATGAAGTAAAAGTAGAAACAATGGGGAAATACAACCATTGCTTATATGTTGGTTGGTTTCATAAATAGTGAATAATCATGCTTCATTTATTATTAGTTAAAGCTTATAATATTAGTAAGCTCTACTACACATAATGAAACCATCTATTTAGTATGCCTTAATATGAAACAATATTAGTCCCACTAAATTTTCCATGAAGTTAATTATTCGAGCATATTTTCCTTATTAACCTTCCTCTTGGAATATATTTTTGTTTACTATTCAATTTCCTTACTGTGAGATGGAATAATAATCTTTATCAAGAAGGCTGGGCTTACATTAGGGTTTAAAAGTTTGAATAAGTACACTGCAAACAAGAGTGAGATTTAAAAGCCAAGGACTAAGGCAGGACCTGGTCATATAGAATCATGAAAACTAAGCCCTACCCCCACTACAACTGGATTCTCAAACATAGAAATGGAAAGGGGCACTTTACTCAAAGGACATGGTGCCAGTATAAGAGTTACTAGAGAAGACCACTGTATATATTAGGTAGAGATATTATGGACGGGGAAACTGAAGTCCTGAGAGGAAATAAACTTACATAAATCAAATACTGAGAGAGTGACAAGAACAATATATGGTGTATAGCTGGGGAGTAAGTATAGCTAGCGTCCCTCTTTTCGTCCCCTTAATAAATCAAAAATAATTGCTTTTTGTAAAAATAAGTACCCTATACTTAAAACCATGTGAAAACTCCCAGAATACAGGAAGAGTGCCACTATAGCACATCTCTAAATCTAGCATGCTCAATGTCCCAAAGAGGCGAAAAAAGATTTGATTGTGATATTTACTATATATCTATACTATGTGCTAGACCCTGGAAGAACAGAAATGAACATGAAGCCTCTGTCCTGAAGGAATATAATCTAATAAGGAAAACAAACAATGATGAAACGCTGTGTTAGGTGCTATAACACAGATATGTTACATGAGTGTAGTTTAACTCAATTTGAGAAGAAAATAGGAAAGGTATGATGCTTCAGGCAAGATCTGAAGAATGACTATGCAAAGCAAGTAAGAGGAAGAGAGTTTTGAGCACAGGGTCCAGCATGTGCAAGGATATAAAGGTATGAGAAAGTAAGACAAATGAGAACTCTTAAGGTGCCTTACATTTCTGAAGCACTGGTTGTATGGTGGTACATGCCATCAAATGGGCTCTGACTCCTGGTGACCCTGTGAAGGAGTGAGCTGTCTCACTATAGGGTTTTTAGGTAAGAAAGATAAGATTGAGGGAAAAATGCAGCAGTGATTTACCACTGCCCTCGCAGGGTGTGGGCCCAACCCACATGTGCTTGGGTCCATGGTATCTTAAATCACCAAAAGCCTATGAAGTGTAAGCACCTCTGCAACATGTGTGGTGTAGACCTATGGAAAATGGGGCTGGAGAGAAGGTAGGGGCAAAATTATAAGCCCTACCAAAGAATTTGGCCATGATACTGCCAGCAATGATTTTCTAATTGTGGTCTGCTAATTAATGACTTGCATCAAAATTACCTGGGGTGTTTCTTTTAAAGTCAGTTTTAAATGGTCTACTCAAGATCTACTCAATACTAATTTCCAAAGACTAGGACATTTTTACCAAGTTCCCACAGGTATTTCTTATGCTCTCTAAGTCTGAAGACTGCTGTAGTGTGTTGTGTTACAGTTACTGAGAGGACCTGCCAGACAAAAGCGATGGAGTTTTGCATAACTACAATTTGGTTAAAGGCAGAAGAACCTAGAAGGAGTACTACCTAAGACCAAGGAGCAATCAGGCAGCATGAAGATTCCCTAATTAACATACTGCAATTATTCCTCCTCTATAACCATAATTCCATGCTTCTGTGAATTATTCATTTAGAAACAAGTTTTAGTTCCTTACATCCAGTTATGTTTCAGTAACTCTACCACACTCACACAAAAAGAGGTTTTTTAAACACTTCCTATGGTGTTCTAATTCCATAAATAATTCCAAAGAAAAACAGGCACTAGAGAAGAGGGGCTACGAAGACTCCCAGGTTCAAGGACTGCCTCCAACTGTGTAAGATAAAACTCTTGCAAAATAAAAGCAAGAGGAAGGAAATCTAAATCAGAAGAGGCGGGGGAGAGAGTAAGGGGGAAAAACCTCTGTTAAATTTAGTAAGGCACAAAAGAGGAAGAGAACCCATCAAAAGGAAGAGGGAGGAAGTCAGAGCTGAGAAGGAAAAGGAGAGAAATGGACACAACATAATGTAAAACAAAGTGACAGTTATAGGGAATGAAGGGCCATTAGCTGCTCATCTAAATAAGGCACTGGGGTATGTTTCTCTTTTAACCTACAACACAGGACCATTAGTTCTGCTGTGAACTAAATGGTATCATCTGTAAACTGACCAAATGGGAAATGGGAATTTAATAAACCAACTGAATTTACACGGGCTCTTTACAGACTCAGATATTACCTATGTGGTATATGTGGCAACATTTCCCTTAGGTTTTACCTTTTATTTTGCAAAATAAACTTTTTTTTAAAGACACTGCTAAATGTTTTATTTTTTTAAAGTTATCAGAGATACAAAGTCTATTCCTTTTGAATTCTTACACTATTTAGTTCAGTAAATTCTTCTCTATCCAGCAATCAATATTTATGTGAATTTTTAGTTTACTATTCATTCTTTTATGTAATTAAGTACACTACTTAAGTAGCTTAGTTTGATACATAATGTTGAATATGAGAACCTAAACTGAATTTTCCCTAAATTTAAAATATTACATCTTTGGTACATTTCTTTTATTTATAGATCTGTTCTCTGCCTACATCAGGGTTCTTTTTTTGAGGATCCTCTTGTAGTGTGTGCCTGGTCTTTAAAAAAAAAAACAAAACAAAACCCAAATCAGAAAACATCATTGTATAGCTCCTGTCATTAATTCATAAAGCAGATGAGTTAAAGAAAAAATGTCAAAATTGGCTTTTCACATATACACCACTATTCTCTCCAGGTTTGTGGCCCTCAAAAGAAAAGGCCCAAGTTCTCCTTAGGGTCTAATACTTCAAAGTATAAAACTTAGGGTTTATACTTTGCCTATAAACAGCATTACATGAATAGGAAGGATACAAAGGAAGCAAAAAATACCTTCCATGACTTCAAAGAATATTAATCCTAACTGTGGGGATATGGTAAACACAGAAGTATCTTGATTAACAAATTCTGTAAGAACAAAGTTCCTTCCTTTTGTAGGCCTGCACATGAAGCAAATTTAAAGGAAGCCATGATCTCCTAAGGATTGAAAGGGACTAAGAAAGAGGCAATGTACTGTGTTATTCAAAGGCTTCGCAGTAGCAAGCACAGTAAATTTGGCTATAAGGGAATTTACATGAACTAAGTTTCTTTTTTCTTTTCTTTCTTTCTCTCTCTCTCTTTTTCTTTCTTCTCTCTCTCTTTCTTTCTTTCTCTTTTCTTTTTCTCTCTCTTTTACCTATCAACAAACACTTAAAAATGTTTTTATTATATTTTTTTCCATTACCATTTAGTCCCCTTACACCCGCTCACCACTGCAGTCACCATACTGGTGTCCATGTCCACAAGTCCTTTTTCCTTTTTACTCAGTCACTCTACCCTCTAACCTCTCCCACCCCTTAGCCGTCATGGTGCTCTTGTAAAATTTCCACATGGAACTGTACCCCCCTAATATAAGGCTCCTTACCCAGAGGACATAGAAGGTAATTCATACCCTTATGCCTTCTCCTGTATGTCTCTGTTTTTGACAACCCAGAACATAACTAACATATCCTCATGAACATTAACTGCTAAGTAACTAAAGATCAAATAAGGATGCATAAAAACAACTGTTTTAACAGCTGAAAGAGATTATGATGCCTAGGAGCTATAAATCAAATTAAAGGTAATTCTGTTAATATAATGTTTTATTTATTGAGTACTTAAATGCACCCCCTAGTAAAGGAACTCCTTTTACAGAATGATGAATCATATTCATTCCTTTATTTACACTTGATTTCTATAACACTGGAATAGAAATACTTAATCTACTAAACCTCAAACAAGAACTCCTCAAAGTGCAAAAAAAAAAAAGAAAGCTAATCTTAGTTCAATGCTCTAAAGAAACTCTTAACACTCCTATAAATAAGGTCTAATAATCCATGTTATTATTAGTAATTACACAGTATATCATAAACCATAATCTGAAATCACTGAGCAACTAAAAAATAAACAAAAATAACTGTAAAACTTCTTTGTTTTTATTCTAGCCTTCCAAGTTCATTTCAAAAACTATGAGAGTAAATTTTTTTTAAGCCATGCAGTGTGTGGTGGTTTGTTACAGCAGTTCTAGGAAACTAATATGGTCACTGTATCTGTAGAAATGGAGCTTCCACTACTGCTTCCAGAGATGCTCATCTTGGTCATTCTGCTCTACACTTGGGACCTTTCCTGATGAACTTACCTAAGTATGCAGTTAACATCTTTGAAAACAGTGGATATTGTACATGCTCTGACTTTATTATCTTGGGTAGGAGAAACTGTCTTGAAATTCTTGAAAGCCTCATTAGGCAGACAAGTGACTACTGCTTTTCTTCACTTTTGCCCTATTCCCCTACAAGATGGCCAAATGCACAGCAGGAAATCTAGCCCCTCGTGCAGCTCATGTTTTGGGGAGGGTGGGGGCAGTGTGCCATACAAGCTATCTAAATTAAATTTTTGATCATTAGTATGAACTCAAGGTTTCAAACAGAGGTAAAGGAAAGAGTATAAATAAAGATAGATGTGTGTGTGTGTGTGTTTGTAGGTTATGACTACTGAAAGGACCTCATAGCCATGACACCTGCTTTCTGATTACATATTCTACCCAAACAGTAACAATGATCATCAGAGTAATAGTTTCAGGGCTGGGATAGGTGGGAAAAAAAGATAAAACCCTACAACATCTTCTTGCGCCAGAAAGTGCTCATTAAAGACCGTCATAAGGACATAGGAGCCAAGCTTGAAGGGGGTCCCTAATCTGGGACAATTTAAGGATCAAAATAACTTAACATATAAACAAACTCTAACCCACTGACTAAAATAAGAGCCCATTAATTCATATTGATATAAATAAATACATGAGGAAGAAAGCTCTTCCTTACAGTATAATGTCAACAAATTAATACAGAAGAAATGACGGATGATCACCCTTTTGCAACCATTGTAGTAACAACTGGTTCAGGTAAGAATCATCAATAGATGCTACAATTAGTGAGTGAAAATTTTATGAGACTATGTATTTTTAAAATATCTCCCCACAGAGTAATGAGGGACACTGCCTTAACCACTTGATCAAAGTTAAAATCATCAATATTGGGACTTATGCTCTGTGTAATGATACGCTGAGAAGACATTACCATTTTGTGGCATTCCTCACACAAAAAAATACACAACCTGAATCAAATCACAGGAAACATTTTGTAAAATAATTGGCCTATAAAATTAAAAAATGTAAAGGTCAGGAATACACCCTGCCCAAAGGCAGGCTGAAGATACGTTCTAGATTAAAGGGCACCTAAGAGACATGACAAATAAATGCAATGGTTGATCCTAACCCAGAGAAAATATGTAAGTATATAAAGGACCATATTGGAAGAACTGACGAAAGTTGAGTATGGACTGTGGATTAGATCACAATATTATATCAATATTACACTTTCTGATTTTGATAATAGTACTGCAGGTATGTAACAGAACTTCTTTGCTCTAAGGAAACAAATATTAAAGAACTTAGCCATAAAGGGCACAATGCCTACAACTATTTTCAAATGGCTCAGAAAAAAAGATGTGTATACATGGATGAGGGAGAAACCACAAAATTCATGGAATTTATTTATTAAAAACTGTATATTATTCTTACATGTTTGAACTTCAGTCACCTTCAAAGTACTCGCCATTTGATGTAATATACCTATCAAGACATTTTTTTCCATTGCTCAAAACAGTTTTTGAACTTGTTGATTTTGATGCCTTTTAGTGCTTTCCCACATCAGCAAAACATTTCCCTTTGAGGACTTATTTATTTATTTATTATTTTTTACCCAGGGAAACAAACGAACAAACAAAAAGTCACTTGGGGTGAGATTGGTGAACAGGGATGGTAGGGCACAGTGGTCATGCTGTTTTGGTCAAAAATTGCTGAACATTCAAGCGTGCTGTGAGCAGGTGCACTCATAAATCACCCATCACAAAATGGGCAAACACACTGAAAGAGCCTTAAAAAAAATCCACTGAAGCCGAACACAGCCTCTCACAACAGTGCCAGCTAGTGCATTGACACAGATGGGTTCCTAGAACACTGATCTATCAGGCGCCTGCTGTCCAGAAGATAATTCCAGTTTTTTTGCAGTCCCTCTCATATGTTAGTATATGCATATATGTAGACAGGGAGAAAGGAATGATATTTAGGCAAGATATAAACAACAGGTGACTCTGGGTAAAGGGAATATGGGAGTTCATTGTACACCTCTTACAACTTTTCGGTAACTTGAAATTATAACAAAATAAATTAAGGAAAAGAGAAAGAAAGGAATAAAGGGGAGATTAAAAAAAAACAGTCTCTGCCTTCAGGAAGTTGTCCTTCAGTTAGAGACACAGAGTATGACAACTAACAGATCCTTTAAAATTCAGAAATAAACTTAAGGAAAAAATCATATAGGCTGAAAAACATTTTTAACAAATTAAATAATGCACTTTAACCTAAAGACCCTGGAAACGATGGTATATTTCTCCAACACATGACTGTTACTATGTTACCTTTCCTAAATTGCATTTACCTGGCTTACTCAGTTAACTTTTTTAGCCATCATAAAATTAATTTTACTTAATGCAAGTAAAAGCTCAACATCTTAAAAAATACTTATCAGATAATTCTTTCACAGAGGCAAAAGATGATCATTTCTAACCTTTCGATGAAAAAAAACAAGTAATAACTAATTTAAAATAAAGTAGGTTAATGTCACAAGTATGTTGTGAAGAAATAAAGCAGTTCTAAACAAAGAATAGTATTTAATCAAATAATAAGGCTTTGGGGTTTTTAAAGATGCTTTGATTTTTAAAACTTTGTTACTAAATATGAGAACAAAGGGAATTAAATAGTAAAACACTTGTACTCATTACATATTCCTGACTTCTTGCCAACATTTATGGATTTGGAAAGGAAGTGTCCAAGCTGACCAAACATCCTCTGTCCAATAAAGCTGGATGTCTGCTTTCTGTTTCATCTATCTGGTAAATGTAAAATCCTAGGAAAGGCATTTACAACACATTACTGACAGATGATACATTCAGTATAGTCCCATGTACAATCAACTAATCCACATGGCTAAACTGTAATTACATAGAGCAATTTATCAGTTTTGGTACCAGGAAGCTCATCTATTTTTCTGACTCCTTATTTTGTTTTTCAATTTGATGACTACTATCTTAGTTCAGACCCATACTTATATCAACATACTCAAGATTATTCTAGCAACCTCCTAACACTCTTCTTTAATCTACCACAGTCAGCTTAATCTTCCTTAAAAACACTTCATATCAGGATTCTGCTTAAATACCCAAAAGGATTCCTTATGAATTAAGTATAAACTCTTTATCAAATGATTTCAGAACCTCTCTGACATGGCCTCAACCTAAATTTTCAACCTTATTTTCTA